GAAGAAGAAGAAGAAGAAGAAGAAGAAGAAGAAGAAGAAGAAGAAGAAGAAGAAGAAGAAGAAGAAGAAGAAGAAGAAAGGGATGTGTGTGTCCTTTTCTAAAAACAAAAGCTTTCGGGTAGATGACAATGTCTCTGCTATTACAGGCTGTTTTAAATAAAATACTAAAACATAGAACTTTGTATTCTTCTTCCCAGAGAAGTGCCTTGGTCTCAAAGAAAAAAATGAAGATAAATTTAGAACTATGTGCAAAGCCCCTAGTTTTGAGTGTACTGTGGGACACTTAGCCAAGGACAACTTGGCTGCATAGTTTTACTGCTTTAGGCCCAGTCTCACAATTACAGAGACCTTGGCACATCACTCCTGGGCAAGGTGGCTTAAGGAGGCATCCAAAAGCCACGTGCCAGGGGTGCTCCTAGTGTGCCCTCTCTGCAGTTTCATACTTGAATAGGCAGTATTTTTGAAGACTTTACTCTTGGTCGTCAGCCAGTCTCCTGTGGCCCAACTTTTACGACTTCCTCTTTTAGACCATAATAGTCATCTTTGACCTCAAAATGCCACCAGGCAGCTTGCCTGCACCAATCACACACTAGCTCTGCCTCAATAAGACTTAGGTGCTTCTAAGAATAACCTCCCCAATAAGGAAGCTCCTTTGGCACCGAACACTCAACTACATTCCCAGCTCCTACAGGCTCACACATTTAATATGCGGGAGCCATGGCCTCACTTTGAGAATAAAGCAGGCAGCCCTCAAACGGGCACCTCAGTCTGGTTATGCTTATCCAAAGACCCACTTAGACCATTCCCTTTCACTTCTGGCAGCCCAAGCCACGTACCAATATACTTCTTGCCAACTACAAACACATTAGTATTTTCCTTTTTGAGACGGGTGTCATGTACTGCAGGAAACCCTTGATGTTCTGACCTTCTGAGGGCTGGGGGCACAGGAGTGTAACACTATGCCCAGTTTATGTGGTGCCCAGGATCAAACCCGGGGCCCGTACATGCGAGGCAAGCTCTCTGCCATCTGAGCTACATCCCCAGGCCCCTCTTTGAATGCTCATCATCAACTATCACCAAATACCTTGCATAGCGCTTGATTCATGGGGACACATGACGCTATTTATCCTCTTAAGAGATGGGCCGCAGTGTCATGAGCTGTCTTATGGAGCAATGAAAAAAAAAAAAGACCCCTTGGCATTTACACAGAGCTCAGACTGGATTCCAGAAGCACCCCTTTTCTTATTCCTGAACCCCTTAGGGATAGACAGGTTCTGCCTGGCCGGCTCTTCTGCACACAAGCATCTCCTCTTCCTTCGTCATGGGACCCAAATGCAGGACTGTGACATATCTACACATGTCGAGCACTCGTGTCCTGCAGAATCTGCATGTCTAAGCGTGTGTTCATCCTGTCTGTCCTGCTCCCGGGCTGCCGACATCCTATCTCCAGGCTCCATCTAGATGTAACCCGAGGAGGAGAGCACCCAGTCACTGCATTCCTCCCACTGGTGGGCAGAGAGTTCCAGGTAAGTCATATCTCTTTTACAAATTCTTCCAGCCTTTCTACCTCAAGCCCCATCCCCGAGACGGTAGACTCAGTACTCAGCATGAATTCACCCTTGCTCGGCGCTCTCATTTTCACCACAGTAAAAAGGAACAAAATGAAATACACTTAATCAACTCTATTTGAACCAAACTCATGATCCAGCAAGCATTTTTGGAATTCACAGGACATTTTTATGGACACTGGGATTCCTCCCAGGATTTTCTTTTCCTGAAAATTTTCATTGTGTGGGGCTTGAGGCTTCTGCCCTGCACAGGTGCTCACCAGCTGTGATGCCAGCAGAAGGCATTAGAAGTGAGTCTAGGGACAGCCGCCACACTGGCTCTTCTCACTGCAGTAAGGCTGGGGACAAACAGGGATGTTAAGGGAAGGGCTAGAACCAGGCTACCTCACAAGGGGCCTGAGCTCAGGCAAGCGATGCACAGGAGCTCACAAATGCACAAAGAGCCGCCAGTTACACAGTGGGCCAGAGGCGAGACCCATGGCTTCTAGATGCCAATGCTTTGCGACTTTCAGTCAGCATCAGCCAACAGCAACAGAATTCTCTCTGTACCAGTGAGTGTGTCCTGATGATTAAAACCCACTGCACCTGACTAATGGTCCTGAGTGGTGGAGACTATGGGACACAGTGCACACTTAAAACAGGATGGGAACCTGCGTAAATTTTGGAGGAACCAGAGAACCCCAAACAAACACACACAGATCTATTTCCAACAGCTGCCCCGTTTCCAGAAAGATACACCCCTGAATTCCCAGCTACAGAGGGGGGACAATGCTTTGACCTCTTCATCCAAAACCAGGATGTTCCATACACTGATAAACGACTGTAGTTTCACAGGGCTCAGAGCCTCCCCCTCTACACACCACACACCCACCCGCCCCCCCCCCCACACACACACAAGGCTCCCACCACAATAAAATAAACAAGACACAAAACTTCCGGGCCCCAAAGCAAGCTCTCAGACCCCTAGAGGGCCAAACTTCAGTTCTCCAAGGCTGCTTTGGACCATGACTGTCTCCAGGGGGCGCTGCACAAGAACACAGATATACTGACGACCGGGTGAGAGAAATGACCAAGTTCCCTCTCCGGCGAGCAAATAGTGGTTAAAACTTTCCATGAGTTTGTGGGCACTGTGGGTTCAAAGATCAGAAGGCACACACCCTTACCTGTGGCTCCCTCCTCGCTCCCTGCTCTTCCTTGGGGAAACCCCCCAGCTTCTCAAAACACTGGGTGATGCAGGAAACAGGCCAGGTTATTCAGTCCAGCCCTCCGCCACATCCCGCTGTGGGGACTACAGTGGCCACACACTAGATCGCCTCTCCCTTTTCGGCTACATCTATGCAGACTCTGACTCCATGCTGGGCGTCAGTGTCCCAGGCCCCATGCCATTCCCTCATAGATCAAAACCACCCTACCACACGGAGGACCAGCCTGATATTGCCTGCTGGGACTCGCTAAGGGGCAGCTGGACACGCCTAATGAAACACCAAAGGAAAGCTATTCTATCCTGATGCATTCTTGCTGGGAAAAGTAAGATTAATAAATCGTAAGCAAGCATGTCACCTTGACTTAGAAAACAAATGGGAACCGTGTGCTGCACCTTGCAAAGGTCAAGTTCTCATTTAGGGTGTTTGCTTGGAAATGAGCACAGGTAACCTAGAAACCTTAAAACTCCACGCCTCTGGCTGCGGCATCGCTAGATCACAGCAGTGTGTTCACCTCCATCTGTTGTTTAGCTAAAGGCACCAGGCAGGAAAACGAAAGTGCCAGCACCTGGCTGCCAGTCAATCACCAAACTGAGGCCTGTAGAAGTATCCTAGGAAAGGAAGGCTTTCCGAAACAGCCTGGGAATTAGTCAAAAATGAAACCTCCCTGCCCAACCTATTAAAGTGCAAATTACGGGGAAACTGGGGCCTGGAAATGATGCCGCCTAGTGGTCGCCGGTGGAAGTCAGCCAGTTCTACGTGCCAGACATTCGGAGACTCGGTACTGGCCCACGTTCATGTTCACAGTAATAACAGTGCGGAACGAGCGGTCTGTTCCGCACCCATCTGTTCCCTTCCACTGTGGTCATACCCCTCAAGTGTGGCTCTGACAAGTCCTGGGAGCAGCTAGTGCGTGGCGCTCCCTCTCCGTGCCGTCCTCTGAGCCAGAGGTCTGGGGAAGTGGCTCAGAGAAATGGGCCCCTCTCCCTCCTGGACTCAGAAGTAGTCTCTCCTCCTGCTCTCATCGCTGATGAAAGATGGGTTATACTGTCCCGGGAAAATGCAGGAGTGCCTTGATCCGGGCAGTCCAGTGTAGGCCGGGTAGAGTCCGTTGCGTTCAAGTTCAGGGTTCCTTACGTTGGTGGGCTGGATGCCAAAGAGAAAAGAATAAAAGTTACTTATTCCCAGACTTAAATAAGTTTAAACGATTTTACATTTTAATGAACCTAAGATGGGACTAGCTATAAACTGAGATGGGGTTAGCTGGAAATATCGACGTACCGGCTCACCTAGAAGCACGACTCCCCCGGGTCTGTTTATGTATTTAGATGGGGGTGGGGTGGGCGGCGGCTTGCCATCTGCTCCTGGGGGCCTGAAACTCACAATCTCCTCCTTTTAAACAAATTATTTTAATTACTTTTCCTAAATTTTATTTTATATATTTGAATGTTTGTGCGCCTGGAGCCCACAGACAACCCAAGAGGCCATCCGATTCCCTGTTGAGAGAATTGAGAGCTGCCATACCGGTGCTGGGACTGAACTGCCGAGCCATCTCTCTAGCTCCCCCCACACCCTTCTCGCCTCTTCCTACCATGTGCTGGGATTGTAGGCATGTGTCACAACACCTGGCATCCACGCTTATCTCTTTATGGACGTGGGGCACATTTCAGCCCATGTTAAAAGGGGGTTAAAAAACCTTAGTCGGGCCAGGTATCGGAAACAACCCAGGCTCCGTGGGAAAGTCCTCATCACAGCATCAGAGGTGAAGGCTTTTTTAGTAGAAATAAAGCACTAGATAGGGCGCATTATAAACATGACACCTATGAGAGCCCAATGCACCGCTGCCTGGATGGCTTTGTACCCACTGAGGGACCATGGCACTCAGGTGAGCATCGTGCTGTAAACTCGGGTTCGGCTTCCATACAGAGAAGATAGGGCCTGTGCTGCGTAGTCTTATGTCAGCTTGACACACAAGCTAGAATCAGGGAACCTCGACTGGGAAAATGCCTCCCGAAGATCCAGCTGCAGGGCATTGTCTCAGTGACTGATTGATCGGCGAAGACCCCAGCCCTGAGGGTGGGAGCCTCCCTGGGCAAGTGTTCCTGGGTTCTGTAAGAAAGCAGGCTGAGCACCCTGCGATGAGCAGCCCCCCTCCATAACCTCCGTATTAGTTCCTGATTCCAGGTGCCTGCCCTGTTCTGAGCTCGTGGTCCGACTTCCTTTGGCGACGTGGCAAGTGTGAACCTGTTCCTCCCCGCCTCGGGGTTTCGTGGCAGCAACAGAAACCCTGACCAAGTGCTCATGTGAGAGTCTAGGTAGATTTAAGACAAATGCCACAGGAATGCGCAGAGAGGCGGGGGCCCAGGGTTCTGCCTGCTTGTCTGCTGTCATTATCAAACCACAGCGGGGCTGAGGAGCCCCCAGCAAAGGATGTGGGGTTAAGATACACAGAGTACAGCATCAGTTGGGGAAGGGCAAAGACATCCCTGACAGACGCGAAAAGACCCACGCCTGTCCAGAAGCAGGACACTGAACTAGAGTTCAACTAGAGGGGCATGGCCATCTGGATTTTCGCCACCTTTCTTGTTCTTCCTCCTGGCTGAAAAATGTCAAAGATCACATTGAAACAAACCGGCCCCTCCCATCCAAAGTCTGATCCTCCTGGTTCATCCCCACAGCAACCAGGGATTATGGTTTCTATCGTCCCCACAGGGCAAGGTCTCGTGTTTATTGCTACACAGCAAACTGATGAGAAGTCACCTGGCATGTTTATCTTCCTGCTCCGATATCTGCATTTGTGTCTCCTTACGGCTGACATGGTGTGACCTGAGCTGAAGTGAACGGAATAGGAGTCAGCGCGGGACAGGAAAAGGGACTGCAGGCAGTTCTCAACGGGTGGGTCGAGCAACCTTTTCACGGGGGTCACATATTAGATATTTACATTACAGTTCATAACAGCAGCAAAATTACTGTTAAGAGGTAGAACCGAAAAAATATAATTTTATGGTTGGGGGTCACCAGCACATGGGGAACTGTATTAAGTAGGGTCACAGCATCAGGAAGGTTGAGAACCACTGGCTTAATAAGGTATGCTCCCAGCTTCCCCGACGATGCAGTCCAGGGCTGGATGGAGCCAATTATTAAAGATCTACTGAGTGTCTAAAGCCTCCATGGTGAAGATGACATTGGGCCATTCCTGCTATGTCTCTCCCAGGCCCCAGTTTTGACTGACAAACCACCGGAGGTGAGATACGGGATAGCAAAACAAACAGGAGAAGGGTAAAGGGCCGAAACCACATTCTTTCTTTCTTCGAGGTTTCTGCTCCTATTCTGGAAAGCAAGTTTAGGGATGACGACTCCCGCTCCCTGACAGTAACTTATTCTGTGAAAGGATCCCTGATACTCACACTGCTAAACACTGCACAGCTAGGCCATTGTTAGACCAAATAATAAACCCGAGTAATAAACTGTGTGTCAGGACACTGTGAACCTGAGAGGTTTATGTCACTGCTCTCCTTCGATGCTTTCACAGGGAACCAGGAGCTGGGACCCTGTGGCCCACTGGGGGCCTGTGGCCGGCTGGGGCCCTGTGGCCGGCTGGGGCCCTGTGGCCGGCTGGGGCCCTGTGGCCGGCTGGGGCCCTGTGGCCGGCTGGGCAGACACCTACCGAGTAGTACACGTCTGTCATCTGCAGGAGGTTTTTGGTGCTCCCGTTCTCGTGCATTTCAATGGCTTCTCGGCCCCATTCTTGTGAGCGAGGATTCTTGGGGTACTCGGCGTATGGGGACATTTGGAAGTCCCCACTTTTGAAGATGAGTTTACTTATGTCATTTTTACTCTTTCTGTGAGATGTTAAAAAGATGCGCGACAAATTCTATCAGTAAGTGTGTCAGGAAACGGCCTCTGTGACCAGACTGATTTCGTGTGTTTGGCAACATAAAATAGACCTACCACTGCCTCTGTATTCCCATGTGGCTGCCCACCAGAAATGCTAGGATGATTTAGTATATGCCTAAAAAACTAAAACTGACATTAGGTGTCCCCTCTGCCATCCAAAAAAACAAATAAACAGACAAAAAACAAAAACAAAAAGACTTTCCAACTTCAAAAGCCTACATGGAGCATGAAGACAGCCCCAAAGGAGCTATTAGTGTCCTCTGGGAGCAGAGGGATTGTGCCCGGGAGTGGCCAGGGGCACAAGAATCAGGCTTCACAGGTGACTGTGGTCGGGAAAGGAACTCAATGGTGGCCAAACATCAGTAGCCACAGGTGAAGCACCAAGGCTGTTCCTGAGTTTCCAGAATGGGAGCCAGGCCTCGGGTGGCTCTGGCTTGTGGAAACTGCCTGTGGCTCACCTGCAGCTACTAGAGACCTGGGATGGGGTCGGCCTCGCCACTTCCCAGCCAGGGTTTTATTTACAAAAACCTCCATGGGGGCCGCCTGCTTAGAGCCTCTCCACATTCTCATTTTAGCAGGCCCAGAACCCACCCTGCCATGAGGTTTCACTGCCTAGGAACGGTTGGGGCAACTATCTGTCTTGTGGGTGGAGGATCAGAAATATTTAATTATTTGCTTTGAGTAAGAGAATCTGAAGGCCGTTGTTCGTCCCGCACTCTAAGTTTCTGGGAAAGGCACAAAAATGACTCAGCATTGTAAAACTGAAGTTCCAGGACACGGCTTCAGTACTGGCCCTTCCGTCAGGCTCAGAGCCGACCTGCTACTACTGTGCGGTGACAGGTCAGCCCCATTGCTGTCTTCCCCTTTCAGTAGCCAAGAATCCGGGCTCCCTCCAGAAACGCCTACATCGCGTGACCGAGAGTGCTGCCAAGACAAGGTTTACGTCCTTCCACCTGCCAGGCTTTGTTTCTCTATGCCACCGCCCTTAACCAGTTTATTTCCTCGCATGCTTATATCTGATGGCAATATGAGAAGAAGTGGCTATCCCACGAGGCCCGCACTCCTGAGCGATACAATGCTTACCATGTTATTCTTGGTAGCCTTCCTGGAGGCGAGGGGTGCTTTAAAATGTCCTTACATCATGGGCACGAAAAGATAACGAGCTACTTTGGAAAAGTCCCTCCGTCTGTTACCTACAAATAATTCTTTCCATTTGATATCATTTAAATCAATGATTGTTCCTTTACTTGGACAGGTAATTGTAGACAAGGGGATCTAGCTTCTCTTCCCTTCCCACCTCAGGAAGCCTGGAGCGAAGGTCACTATTCATCCAAACCATGGCTCCCTCCATCGCCTTTGCTGCTGACAGAGCTCAGCCAGTCCCTCCCTCCGTGCGTCTTTGCATCTCTCTATAAACACAGATCTGAGAACGGACTGACGTCACCATACGATTTACTCGTTTAATGGTTTTTACCATATTCACTGTGGTGCGCCTGTCCTCTCAGTTTTAAAGGCACTTCATCACCTACCCCCATAGTAACCATCCCCAGCCTTCCAGCATCTCTAACCTGATCTCGGCCCTAGACTCCAGCTAGTCTACTTCCTGTCTCTAGTAGATGACCTTTAGTAACTCATGTTCATATGGCATCCCAGATGATTTTGCAGATGCCATCTTTCACCTAGAGTAAGATACTGAAGGTTCACCCACGTGCCAGTCAGTGGCTGACTGTGGGTACGGGGGACGGTTCTGTCACATCTGGTTTTCTTATTCACCAGCCCACGGGCCCTGGATTGTTTCCCCTTTGGACTCTTAGGAACAGACTTGCTGTGAACACACCGGGCCAAGTTCTTGTGTGCACGTGTTTCCATCTAGTCTCCCCTTTAACTCAAGGAGCTCCAAGTGTCTCTGTCTCCAGAGTGCTGGGATTAAGGATGTGTGTCCCCAGATCTGGCTGTTTTGCTTTTTAAAACAGTCTCTTTGTAGGCCTGGCTGGCCTTGCACCTGCTTCCTAGCTAAGGGTAACTGAATCATTGATTCCTCCTGCCTTTACCTCCTGGGCTGGGATCACGAGAGGACAGCCCCACACTCAGTTTTTGTGCGGCTGGGGAGCGAACACGGGCTTCATGCATGCTAGGCAAACACTCTACCAAACGGAGCCCCATCCTCAGCTCTAGAGTTGGAAAGTTCTGGATCTTGATAAAGTCCAACTCGCCTTTTTATTTAGTTGGTTGTGTTACTACTTTTTGGTTCTTTGGAGACAGGATTTTATCATGCAGCCCAGGCTTGCCTATAACTTGCTATGGACCCGGGCTGTCGTCATCCTCCAAGGCATCCCTTCTGCCTCAGTCTCCCCAGTGCTAGTTTGTTCAAGGCTAAACACTGACCCTCGTACAGCACAGTTGATAAAGTGGGATTTAAATCCGAGATCTCGGTCACTCACCTGCAACAGGTAACAATGAGTGCGATGCCCAGAATGAGGAGAAGGCCACCTCCAGCTGCCGCTATCACCACGGTGATGAGCTGATAGGCTAAACATGTCAAAGAGGCAAACAAACAGGGTGGATTGGCAGGAGGTCACGAGTAATAATCAGAGCCTCTGCCCCGCTCCCACCTCTGCCAGCGTGGCCCTGGCCCTCTCGCCTAATAAGGCCTGGTCTCTGGCCCAGAAAACTCTAAGGCTAGAGTTCCACTTTTTTGTCTTGAGAGGAATCCCCAGTTCAGCCCCTTCTAGGGCAGTGGCCCTAAAATTCTTCCTGTAAGAGATCCCCGATGAAGTCACTGAACCATAAACGAGAAAGAGAAAGGCAAGCATTGTTTCCCCAAACTGATCTGACAGATTTCTCCCGTCCTTTTCTCTCTCGCTCTCTCTCTCATTTAAGATGAGTGCTTTTTTTTTTGAAATTTAAACATCAGGAAACTTGTTAGCTCGATGGTGACAGTAGAGATAAAGATGCTTGGTTCACACTGAAGGCAGAGGCAGGCAGATCTCTATGAGTTCGAGGCCAACCTGGTTTACGGAGCAAGTTCCAGGACAGTCAGGGCTACACAGAGAAACCCTGTCTCAAAACAAAACAAAATAAAAGCAGATGCTGGATTCTGTTTTAGGACCTAACTTAGTAAAACAGAACCAAGACAGGCTAAACTCTTCAATTTCAGAAGAAATATTACTAGTCTGTTAAATCTGGGGACCCAGGGGGCTCCACAGACATAAATTTAACTACCAGAAATTAGCACTGATAGAATAATGCTGAAAGGTCTAATTAATAGGGTTTTATATCTATATATTTGTAGCAAAATTATTTCTTATAAATTATATTAAATATTCTATTTTTCTTGTGAAATACAATTAAAATTTGTTCCTCGGGTTGCAAGATCTAGTATGAAAGGGCAATAACTAATTTTCTTTTTTAAAAAATTTATTTTAGCTGGGTGTGGTGGCTCATGCCTTTCACCCAGTGCTCATGAGGCAGAGGAAGTTGGATCTCTGTGAGTTTGAGGCTAGCCTACAGAGCTAGTTCCAGAATAGCCAGAAAAATTCAAAAATACAAAATACAAAATACACAGAAAAATCAAAAAATACAAAAATACAAAATACACAGAAAAATCCTGTCTCAAAAAAAAATTTCATTACCAATGTTTTATTCAATTATTTGTCTGTGGCATGACCAAGGAGGCCAGGAGATGACATCAGATCCCCTGGGACAGGAGTTACAGAGGGTTGTAGACCACCAGGAAGGTGCTGGGAGTGGAACCCAGGTCCTCTGCAAGAGCAGACAGTGCTCTTTAACACTGAGCCATCTCTCCAGCTCCAGATGACCAGACTTCCGAAGGAAATTAAGACTGAAACAATGACCTGCAGCCATTTTCATAAGGTCGAGGTTATGGCAGAGAGCCGGAGCTCTTGCCCCGTCTGATGAACGCCTACATTAAGGGCTATGAGCAGAACAGGTAAATGACAAGCTATGAACCCTTTATCTAGCCTTTTATTTAAGTAACTAGCAAAGAGGCCGGACTCTTATGAAAAAGATTAGTACTGCCTCATAGAGGAATCACATTATGCACCCTCGCCTCCCTCGCCTCGCGATACATGCGGTCAGAGGTTCCTCTTACAAGTGAGGACAAAGCAAACCTCTTGGGGATTGTATCCATGTTCATCTTTAAAAATATTTATTTTATGGGTACGTGTATGACTGAGTGTAAGTATATATGTCATGTGCACACCCGTGGTGGTCAGAAACAGGCATTGGATCCCGTGGACCAGGAGTGACAAATGCCTGCTAGCCACCGTGTAGGTGCTGGGGATAGAACCTGCGTCCTCTGGAAGAGCAACACGTGCTCTTAACCGCTCTGCCATCTCTCCAGTGAAGAGGGTGGCAGATCCCATGGAGTTAGAGCCACAGAGAGCTGTGAGCACCCCCATGTGGGTGCTGGGGACTGAACTCTAGTCCTCTGGAAGAGCAGGCAGTGTTCTGAACCCCTGAGCCCTCTTTCCAGCCTCACATCCCTGCTCTTCATCCCCACCAGCTCTGCCCTGAGCTCCCGTCACCTCATCTGGACAGCAAGCCTGACGGTGCTGGTCCCGTTTTAAGAAGCTTCAGCGTCTCCCTATGCTCGCTCATTTATTTAACTTTCCAGATGAAGTCTCATGTAGCCCAGCACCCCTCTAACTTGCCACATAGCCAAGGATGCCCTTGAACTGCTGCTAGTGTCTATGTGCTGGGATCACAAGCGACCACACCTGGCTTCCACTGTGTCCCTCCCTATTTTTTGGACAGGGTTTCACGTAGCCAAGACTGGCCTTGAACTCTTGCCTCCACCTCTCAAGGACTGGGAATACCGGCATTTGTCATCATACTTGCCTTCCCTGTTTTGTTTTGTTTTTTTGTTTGTTTGGTTTTGGTTTTTTGAGACAAGGTTTCTCTGTGTAGCCTTGAGTGTCCTGGTACTTGCTCTGTAGACCAGGTTGGTCTTAAACTTAGAGATCCACCTGCCTCTGCCTCCCGAGTGCTGCCACCACTGCCTGGCTGCCTGTTTTCTTTTTAAGTTGAGACAGGCTCTCACCCTATAGCCCAGTAGCCTAAAACTCACTATGTAGCCCACTCTGACCTCAAAGTTGAAATAATCCTCCTGTTTGAGCCTGGGATTGCAGTCGTGTGCTACCAAACCTCATTTATTCTGTTCCTAAAAACCAAAATCTAAACCAGGCTTATTGGTGCATTCTTTTAATCCCAGCTCTGGGGAGACAGAGACAGGTGAATCTCTGTGAGTTCAAGACTAGTCTGGTCTACATAGCAAGTTTCAGGGCAGCTGGGGCAACACAGTGAGAACCTGCCTCAACAAACAAAAAAGTAAACTATTATTTATCCCATACATCACACTAATTTTTCTAGCTTCCAGCAAAACAACCAAATATCCATTATTTGACCCCTGTAAGTGGCTGCAGGTTATAGCACACTCCTCTTTGAAATAAACAGTTTTGTCTGAAAAATAACATGCTTTGCAGGAAAATGGATGGAACTGGATAACATCATTTTAGGTAAAATAAGCCAAGCTTAGAAATATGAATATGAATATATATCTACTTCTACTTCTCTCATACTAATATATATATGTGTATATGTACACACACACACACACATATATATATATTTCTCTCTCTCTCTACACACACACACACATATATTTCTCTCTCTCTCTACACACACACACACACACGAATGACATGAAAGGAGAAGGCAGACAGGCAGCAGGGAAGAAATAACTGATTAAATAGCCTAGGGTGGCTTGGAACTCACTATGTAGCCCAGGCTGGCCTCAAACTCATGATCCTCCTGCTCCAGCTTTCCAAGTACTAAAATTACAAGCGTGTGCCATCGTACCATGCTGGATCGCTTTTTACATACACAAAATCTTACTTGGTCCCCCTTCTATCCCTTTAGAGATCAAGTGTCATACACTTCCTTTTCTTGTTCATTTACAGACATTCACTGTGGACATAGTGAAGTAACGCAGACTCAGCTATCTGGAACCTAGCTGTAATGTATATACACGTATGTGAGTGCGGGTGAGCATGAGTCATTGTATTAAAAAGAAACCATGGGTGGGGGAAGTCAAGGGGGAGGCAGCAAGACACAGGTGACACAAAGAAAGGAGGTTATGGGGGGAAGGGTATGGAGGGGGTAGGTAGGGTCAGAAGAATTAACATAAAAGAATTTTGTTTGAAAATACCACAATGAAACCTGAAAGTGTATATCCTAATTCAAATATTTTAAATAAAGGAAATAACAATAAAAATAAACAAGATGAAGAGATTTCATATACACTTTGCCATCTCTACCAAGGACACTGTCTTTTTTTCTTTTTCTTTTTTTCTTTTTAGACAGGGTTTCTCTGTGAAACAGTCCTGGCACTCACTCTGTAGACCAGTCTGGCCTAGAACTCACAAAGATCCACCTGCCTCTGCCTTCTGAGTGCTGGGATTATAGGTGTGCGCCACCACTGCCCGGCTAAGGGTGCTGTCTCACAGCATCATTTTAACTGATCTTTGGGGCACAAGTACTGACTTTAGCTTTTCTGAGACACAGAGCTCCACGGGGCCTTTCTCCCCCAACGCCAACTGCCATGTTTACTTCTACCTTTGCATGTGCTGTGTGGGAGTTTAGCAGGAGACAGACAGAGACGCTGCCTGAGTCTGTCCTGTGCTCTCTAGTCCTGAGGAGGTGCTACCACAGGCCCCCTTTCCTGGCCTCGCCAGCCATGGCTCCTTCCACCATCCCCTCAGCTTGAGGCCGGGACCTCCACTTGCATTTTTCCACCAAACCAACCCACGCTCGGTCTCTCCCTTCCTCAGGAGCTCCTTGCTTATGCGGCTATTTGGAAGGAACCCACTGTCTGTATAACCCACCTCTTCTGAGAATACTTAGTCCCTCCATCTGCAGTGGGGTGGTCACTCATGTTGACACCCTTGGCCACAGCTGATGAGGAAGGAATACATGATAGACCTTTCTCCTTCACACACAGTCAGAGATGCATGGATTCTGTTTCTACCACATGGTCTGGGAGAGGAGGAAGCCCGTGGACAGCCACACCAAGTGAAGGCAGAGAGGAGGTGGAGTCACGCTGGGCTGTGCTGAGAGCTCTGACCTCAGCAGCCAGAGGAGCCCACTGCAACAATTCCTGGCTCCCCGTCCCAGGACAAGCCCTTCTACTAAGCTTCCCTTCAGCTTGCCAGTCTTTACTCCAGAACTTCCTTTCTTTAAAAAGAACACACTTTCTTTAAACCCATGCAGCAGAGCTTTCTAGGCAGCCTGACTGGTTTTCTTTTAAAATTCCTTCAGTACTTTACCACATAAGGTCGGCGTTTGCCTTTTAAGCCTCCCCATCCTCTTACATCTCTGCTCAAGGTTTTCCTTTCCTTTCTCTGAAGTTTCCCAGTTTCCAAGTGTCCAGGTTATGTGTGGACCTACCCAGTGCCCACCGCCCTCCGTTAAGACCGTCTCCATGTGACCCTTACTCTCTGCTGGGGTCCCTGTCCCTTCCACTTCACCAGGCCATGGGGACGTCAAACATAGACGAGTGTTCTCCTCTCCCAAGCCCTGCTTCCCCCAGTCCTGATGGGAAAGAAAGCCAGCTGAGGCCAGCGGGATGACGGCTGGCTCTGACTTCCGGGTGATTATGGAGGGATCGCTCCTTCCTCCTACGCATTTCTGGGTCTTTCTGGACTCCTGCTGACACAGCACTTCCTCTGATCTGAATCTCCCTGCAGCTCCACGCGAGGACAGGGAGAGCAGAGTGACAAGTTCTGCATCTATCAGGTTGTGGGGGCAGAAGGCAGTGGGGAGTATCGTTAGGTGGAACACCCTAGTTCACTGGAAGAGACGAAACAGAAAAGATGCCTCTTTTATGTTAGGGAAGGACCACCATTGAGCCAGAGGCTTTGAAGCAAAGAGCATGTGGAATGGGTATGAAAGAGGGAAGGACAGAAACGTCTGTCTGTAATAAGAAGAAATCAATCTGGAGCAGCAGTGTGAGTTCTACGGTCATGACGGGACAGAGGTCATAAACCAGAGAAATGGCTTAGAGGATGAGTCTATAAAAAAAGGTCATCAGAGGGACGCACTTAATATATTATAGCACAGGATAGTATGGCACTATCAAAAATGACGTAATAAGAAATGAAAACATTGCAGTTATAAACAGGTTACAGGGCTGGAGAGATGGCTCAGTACTGGCTGCTCTTCCAGAGGACCTGGGTTCAATTCTTAGCACCCATATGGAAGCTCACAGTCACTTGTAACTCCAGTTCTCGAGGATCAGTGCCCTCTCCTGGCTTTTGTGGGCACCAAGTATGCACTGTACAGACATAAACGTGCAGGGAAAATACTCATTCGCAAAATAAAACCTTAATTTTAAAAGTTTAGAAAAGTAGGCTACAAACTAGTATATCCGGTGAAGTCCAACTCCTTGGAAAGGAGACACACACTCACACGGACGAAGCCTGTGTTTGAGCTGTAGATGTATGCAATGCTGCCCACAAGCAAGTTGTTGAGTTTGATAAATTTCCAGATTCTGATTTCGTAGGTATGGAGGGAGGAGGTCTGAAACTGTGTCTAGCAGGTGCTTGGTAACTGAAGCTGCTGGTCCTCACAGAGACAGTGTGGGCATATGATGGGTGATGGACACTGTACATCCTCCTCTTTCCCTGGTCCCTGGGGCTGCTGGTCTTCACACAGGCGGTGTGTGGTGTATAATGGGTGATGGACACTGTACATCCTCTCCCTTCCTTATTTTACACCTATACTCTAATTGATTTGGGGTTTGAAAAGGGGAAAAAGTCAATGATTTTACATTGTCCTATGCTATGACAATATAAAAAAAAATTAAAAGAAAATAAATTGGCCGGCACGGTGGCAACCGTGAAATCCCAACACTTGAAAGGCTGAGGCAGGAGGATTGTGAGTTTGAGGCAATCTCAGGCTACAAAGTAAGTTTTAGAGTAGTATGAGAGATATGTTAGACCCTAACTCAATAGCAGATACATAAAATACACACATACATTTAAACACATAGACATATGCATATATTCATATACACACACACACTACATGCATATTATCTACACACACACACACACAAATACACGTGAGTGAGAGAAGCAAAAGGTGAAGCAACTCAAAGCATCGGGGGAGACACTATACTTCTGTGCAGAGGAACCAACATAAAGTTCAGCCAACAAAGGAGGTGTGCACGAGAGCACAGAGGACAAGGACAGCTCTGGTCACAAGGAGGTGTGCACGAGAGCACAGAGGACAAGGGCAGCTCTGGTCACAAGGAGGTGTGCATGGAGAACAACAGGACAAGGGACAGCTCTGGTCACACATTTAGGAAAGAATTCAGGACAATGGGAGAAAAAGACACAATTGTTGGAATGTGGGGTATAAACAGAGAAGTGTTCATGGAAAGAGGAGAAAAGGGACAAGCCAGTTGGAGCCCTGTGCCCTGGATGTGGGTGACCTGCATGCCCTTCGGAACTAAAGTCTTGAGAAAGACTCATCCCACCCCTTTTGAAGGAATATTCTATGAGATGCAAGGAGTGGAGCCTGGGCCGAGCTAGAAAGCTACAAGACCCTTTAAAAGGCAGAACACAGATTAATCCTATGCCTAGGATATGCTGTAATTGGGCAACAGCCAGGAATGTGGGAACAGGAGAATTTCAAGGTCATGCAGGTAGCTGGGGAAAGCTGGCTTATCTGTTTCCTTGGGCCCGAGGACAGACTGTGCCTCTCCAGAGACATTTCCTGCCTACAGGAAATCGATGAGACTGGGCGCAGCAGGTCACACTGTAACCCCAGCGCTCCAGAGATGGAGGGAGGCTGGCCCAAGCCACATAAAGTAAGATCCCATCTCAAAGATAAAAGAGGAAAACGAAACTCAGGTTGGGTGACAGCAGCCAGGTTGAATGGTACAAAGCACCAAATGATGAGTCATGGCTTCCTCGGGGGCTTTCATCACTCATGGGGAGACGTCTAGATGCCCTCAGCTCCTAGCCAACACCTAGGGCTGGGCCCAGACTGAGATAAGGAGGTCGGTGGCGGTGCCTGCTGCTGAGGCGTGTATGGAAACACTACCACTTCACATGTTATCACAAGTCGTAACATTTTTATCAGCTGTCATAAAATGTTTTATAGTACTAACTTGAAGACGATATCAAAGTCACTACAGTTAATGGTAAACGGTCAGCTCCTGAAGTGGGCTGGGGCCGACGACCGAGGCGGGTGTCTGCTGGGCTTAATGGTCACTTGGGTAAATGGAGGAGGAAAAGTGGTCTTAAGAACCTGAGAGAAATTCTGTTTTCGTTTTGTTTTGGTTTGGTTTTGGTTTTGATTTTTTGAGACAGGATTTTTCTGTGTTGTTTTGGAGTCTCTCCTGGAACTAGCTCTTGTAAACCAGCCTGGCCTCGAACTCACAGAGATCTGCCTGCCTCTGACTCCCAAGTGCTGGGATTAAAGGTGTGTGTCACCACTGCCCAGCTATTTTTAAGATCCCCACAAACAAATAGACTTGACTGTTTTTTTACCATAAGAGTTTAGAGAATAAATGGATGCAGAGTATGTATTTCCTAGACAGACAGTAGCAAGTGCCAATCATATTTTAAAAAAACCAAAACACCAATGTCACAAAACCCTGAACATGAACACATGCAATACTACCTTCCAGAATATCAGCTATTCTCCTGAATAGAAAAGTAGAAAGATCTAGAACCCAGCACTCAGGAGGCAGAGGCAGGAGGATCTGTGGGAGTTCAAGGCCAGCTTGGTCTACATAGTGAGTTCCAGGCTAGAAAGAGCTACATAGAGAGACCTTATCTCAAAAAAAAAAAAAAAAGAAAGAAAAAAGAAAAAAAGAAAGAAAGAAGAAAGAAAAAGAAGTATAAAAACAAAAATAGGGAAGGGGAGAAAGGCTAAGCTAGCTTGATTTGTGCACGGAAGACATAAAAAGTAGGTCATACAGTTAAGAAATAGCAACTGCAGGGGTCTTAACGCACAGGGAATAAAACCACATCTACTTCTAAACTGATAAACTGGGAAATTCACCATTTGCACATTTACCTGTATAAGAGGGGACAAAGGTCATCTAGAAAGTGTTTGATTGCTATTATTCTTAAACACTACCACATACTGTATGACAAATTCTGTTTTATCATTTTGAAGGTAACTTCCATCACGAAAAATGCCAGTGCAAGCAAACCTAAAATGGCTCAAGCTGTTCTTCAGAAGGGACTGGATCCTGCTGGCCACACCATCAGCATTGACCGCACTGAGTTTTACTTCAGGAAGTAAGACTCCACCTCATAGCGGGTGCCTTGTCCCAGCTGGCACGACACTGGAAGTCTCCTGACTTTTACACACACTCTTGCTCACTATGGTCTCAGTGGTTTTTTCCCAACCATGCAACTCTCCTGGGCTGCGATTGCTAGCTCCCTGGCAGTTACTGACTGCAGCCCAAGAACTCACCCGCCCCACAGCTCACTTCCTGTGGACTTTGCAAACCTAATGCTGCACTGCCAATCCTTTTTCCCTTCCATAATTTGGACACATCCACTTACAAACTGGTCCCAAAACACCACGCATCTGTGGCTGCCCCAAGACCTTAAATGGGTTCTAAATGGTTTTCCTGCCCTGGGACATCCTTTTTACTCTCACACCACCCCTGAGTCTGCCCAAAGTCGTTTGGAACCTCTCTCCAATTCCATGATTTCCAGGAAATACTCCTGAGTGTCCTGGGTTCTCCTTGAGGTGGGCTCTTCCGTGCCTCCCACCTCATGTCTGACTCGTCATGCTCAGAGCACAGGTGAAGCTGTGCACAGGTGTTTATTTCTCCCCTGAGAATTTGAGGTTGGGAAAGCGCCATGCGAGCTTCCCTCTATGTTTTTCTCACACACCCAGCCCAGGACTTGAGCACACAGTGGAGAGAGGAGGAGGCCCTCAGCTGACCTGACCCCACCCAGTCCCAATTCTCCACTTGGGGATACTCACGGTTTCCACAGTTGAGACCACCGAGACCAAACGGGCAACTGGAAGTCAAGAGAGGCAAAAGAGGACTCAGATTCAAGTCTCAAAAGCTATGACAAGGCAATGCATGTGAGAGACTTCTTTACTTAGGATAAGTTCTCTATTAGGATGGTCTGCCTTTCTGTTTGTTTGTTGTTTTGTTTTTCTGGTTGCCCTGACCATCCTGGAACTCGCTCTGTAGACCAGGCTGGCCTAGAACTCAGAGGTCTGCCTGCCTTCGCCTCCCAAGTGCTGGGATTAAAAGTGTGCGCCATCACCATCCACCTGGATGGTCTGTCTTTTAGGGTGGTTTTTTAAAAAACCATTTGTAACAACTTCATCAGAAAAAGCGAATAGGGAACTCACCTCATACAGGTTTCGTTTTCAAGCCTGTATCCATCTTCACATGCTAAAAGAGGAAAGGAAAATCCATGAGGGTCCACAGGAGCAGAGCTCACATTTAATTAAACCCCAGCCACCCCAGAGTTCACAAGAATATTCTAGAAGCCAAAAGTTTTTTAAATTATCTAGATCCTGACGTGAACACTGTTGTCATCTCAACTCTTAAAGGGATCATGAGACTTTTCTTGACCTCAGTGTGGCTCAGTTCCCATCAGTAAAAAGGTTATGAGAGAACAGTAGTAACAGTGGTCTCTTAGACGAGGTGACATATTGCTACATCCACGGTTGTCTCGCCAGTGTAGCAGAAATGCTGACTGGATGGGCAAATATTGCCGGAAGGATCAGGATCCGCGCTTCTCGGAGTTGTGTCCTGGGCTGTCCCTTGGCAATCAGTTGTGGTGTAATGCTACCTGAGTTGCCATTTGTACTGACTCGACCTGACTGTACTTGGTGCTATATGTCTGTCTTTTCCCTTGTCTGTGTGTTCTTTGTGATCCTTGCATATTGCTAACAGATCAGACTATTCCAGGCAGTTGCGGATACAAACAAGACTGCTGAGGACATTTTTGAGTTTTGCGCCCCTATTCATTAAAGCCTTTAAAGAAATAGCCAGTTCTGGAAATAGGGAAGTCATCGTTAAAATAATTCCTTAATGATGTGGAGCAAAAGGAGTTGCTCTTATCAGGAGAAACCTTAGAAGCCTTCTGTAGGAAAACAGCTGCAGCAACACTAGATGTTTGCCTGAGAATTACGTGCAGGAGGCCTATGTAGCCTTCATTATGGCCAGAATAAACCTAGGCTAATTACAACATCTGACCCTGAGAGTCGGGGAGGGAAGAAAGTTGAGATTTATGGTATGAAACCAGATTCAGACAAGTTTGAGATCATGTCTAAAATTTCCTAGCAGAAAGTTTTCCCAGGAAGATAGTGGTCTTCTCCTCTCACACCCCAAGATATTCTGAGCACAAGGTCACTTAGCCCTGCCAGCCGCCTGGTACAGACTGGGCGAAAGTCCTTGTGCCCAAGTCAAAGCATTTTCAAAGATTCTTTTTGTAAACTATTCTATGCTTTTTTTTATGATCTGATGATGTATGCCTTTGCCAAGTTCTTTGTTTGAAATAATATAAAAACCTCACACTGAATAAGTAAAACACAGCAGCATTTTCAAAAATACATTGAAAGTGGTCTGTCTGTCAATTCCTCTGCCGTATCCTGAAATCTTCCATCCTTCGCCCTGATTCCCTCACGGTCTGAGTGGCTCCCCTGAGCCGGTCCGTAGCAACATATCTTAGCCCTCTTCCACGGGGAGGCTGAAGTGGTGGATGACACCCTCTGGAACCCAGTCCTGGTTGTTAACCAGGTCTCCATAGGTGAACGCTTACCCTATAATCTGTGCCAGAGATTTCAGATGTACCTAGACGTGTCCTAATTTCCACCTTGCTAAGAACGTAGTTTTGAACCCTCTGGGCCCACTGCACAGACTACGAGGACCCAGCTCTTCTCCCGGGCCAGCAGTTTTCGAGCTTGTCTGATCATAGGATACTCTCAACATTATCATAACTCAGCCAAACACCAGGGATGGCAACGCATGCAGGAATGAAAGCCGACAATGAAAAATGACCCCGTACACAAATTCCTTGCTGCAAGGCATGATACACTTTTTGATTCATGATTAATGTCTGATACACATCGCATAAGAGATCAGATTTAAAAAAAAAACAAAACCACAGAATGTAGAGCTGCCAACAGGGAGCAGACAGAGACACAGTAGGGAGGAATTGTGAGTGGTAAGGGCAAGCGAGCAGGGGCTGGGGATTGAATGGCGGATACACACCCTGCAGGCTGGGGCAGGAGGTCTCACAGACTTCCCGTGTGCTGCCACAAATTTGTGCATAACAGTATCATCTGTGTGGATGTCATTAATATTTTCCTTCTTTACGTTTCTAATGCCAGAAGCTAAAATATTTCTAGCATCCATTTTACTGTCATGCAGCATCTACTAGCTGCAACAGTTTTGTGGAATATGGTTTGAAAAACACTGTTCCAAATCACCTGAAATCGATCTCATTGCCGACCATGAGAGAGCTGTGGATGTGACGGCCTCTGCAGACTCACTTTTCCTGAGTTAGAGGCTTACACGCTCCGGCCCGTTTACCTTAAGCAGCAGCCACAAGGAATCCCTGCAGGAAGCTATGGACCACACTGCCACAATACCATGGTAACCTCTCAGTGAGCATGCCCAGAGAAACTTTGGTGGGCCTCAATGCCTAAAGAGCGAGGGAGTCTCCTTTTATGAGCTCTGACCCTTTTGAAGTCATGATCTTGCTGGTTTTGCATTAGGATCAAGCTTAGACCTTCAGGGTATGGCTTATGTTGGCAAATACGCTCTTTAGCTTTTTGCATGCTCGCTTTCCTTCTGGTCTCAACAGAGTAGCCAGTTTTCCCTTCAATCTGACTTACCCTTTAAACATGCACATTTGCCGACTTTCAACTCACAATTCTCCTACTTCAGCTTCCCAAGACTGAGGTCATGGGCATGTGACACTATGTCCATTACTTTTTGTCCCCCCATGCCATACCTAATTAGCCAAATCTGTGATATAATAATAATAATAATAAAATCTCTTTAGCAGGGTACAATGTTACATGCTTTTAATCCCAGTGTTCTGGAGGTAGAGGAGGTCTTTGTGAGTTTGAGGGCAGCCTGGTCTATGTAGTAAGTTCCAGACCAGTCAGAACGACATACTGAAATCCTATCTCAAAAAGAAAATCATTTTATTGTAATGAACCCACAAACAAACACATCACTCAGCTACTTAATGTGGGATTCCCCTCTGTATGCTGTGAATATGTTTTATTACCATTGGTTAATAAAGAAGCTGTTTTGGCCAATGGTTTAGCAGAGTAAAGCCAGGTGAGAAATCTGAACAGAGATATTGAGAGAAAGTAGGCGGAGTCAAGGAGATGCCATGTAGCTGCCAAAGGAGAAGGATTTGGAACCTTTCCAGTAAGCTACAGCCTCGTGGCAATACATAGATTAATAGAAATGGGTTGATTCAAGATGCAAAAACTAGCTAGAAATATGCCTGAGTCATTGGCCAAATAGTGTTGCAATTAATAGAGTTTCTGGTTGATTATTTGTGTCTGGGTGGCCAGAAAATGATGGAGTAGTCTCCACCTACAGTTACCCACACACATATACATTGCCCTGCCCCAAATTCTATACGTTCCAACTAACTTCTATAGAGTTAGAGCCTCGCTTGGGGTTTTGTTGTTTTTATCTTTGTTTTGTCTGTTTGTTTGAGACAGGGTTTCTCTGTGTAGCCCTGCTGTCCTGGAACTTGCTCTGTAGGCTAGGCTAGCCTCAAACTCAGAAATCCACCTGCTTCTGCCTTCCTCTCAAGTGCTGGGATTAAAGGCGTGCACCACCTGGCTTTGCACAGGGTTTTACACTTTAACTATCAGTTACATTTTTATGCAGTTATCCACCACAGAAAAAGGAAAAAAAAACTTACAACACAGTTGAAACTAGAAAAATAATTAGCTTTATATTCTTTTTCAAGATCATGCCCTTTTGCTCTCATTTGGACCCTCTCCATTATCTGGCATTATCCTTACTAGGTCTCTTTTCTAATGTTATATTATACCCACACTTACAGTTGTGCATATACATGTCGACATTACAGGTCAGGATTCGCCGTAAAAGGGAGAACATGCGGTTTTGTTTTTCTTCCAGAATTCAGTGAGCTTGCTCAACACTGTACCTTCTGATTCCCCTATTTCTTGAAAATTTCATGCTCGCCTTTTTTTTCCTTTTTTTTCCTTTCTTTCTTTTTTTTTTTTTTTAGATTTACTTATTATGTATACAATGTTCTGCCCGCATGTATGCCTAGAGGCCAGAAGAGGGCACCAGATCTCACTACAGATGGCTGTGAGCCACCATGTGGTGGCTGGGAATTGAACTCAGGACCTCTAGAAGAGCAGCCAGTGCTCTTAACCTCTGAGCCACCTCTCCAGCCCCTCCTTTTTCTTTACAGCTGAACAATGTACCATTTCATTTTGTATATGTGACATATTTTTATTATCTCTCGGTTGATGGGCATCTAGGTTGGTTTCGTTTCCTTGTTATCAAAAGCAGAGCAGCAATAAACATGGGTATGTACGTATCGCTCCGGAAGGGCATGGGTGCTCCAGGTAGATGCCAGGACTGAAACAGCCGGCTCGTGCAGTTCTACTTTTAGTCCTTTAAGGGCCTTCCACTGACTTCCACACTGCTGTATCCATCTGTACCCCCATCCGCAGTGGACACAGTGGACAGGGGTTCCTGTGCCCACATCCTCTCTAACGTTTGTTATCAGATCTGCTGATGCAAGCCGTTTCGAGTAGGGTGCGGTGCTATCTCAAAGTAGCTTTGATTTGCTTTCCCTGATGACCAGGGATGCTGAGCACTGTTAAAAATAGTTTTTTTTTCTTTTAAAGCACTTGTACATTTCATTCTCCCTGCCCAGTCAGTATGTTTTCAAATCTGTATTTATCTATCTATTTATTTATTTATTTTTGAGACAGGGTTTCTCTGTAGTTTTTGGTGCCTGTCCTGGAACTAGCTCTTGTAGACCAGGCTGGCCTCGAACTCACAGAGATCCGCCTGCCTCAGCCTCCCGAGTGCTGGGATTAAAGGCGTGCGCCACCACGGCCCGGCTTATCTATTTATTTTTACGTGTGTGTGTGTGTGTGTGTGTGTGTGTGTGTGGCTGTGTGCATGCCGTGGCGCACAAGTAAAGGTCAGAGAACAATTCCCAGAAGTCAGTTCTTTTCTGCCATCTTTGGGGGATGTGGGAATTGAACTCAGTTCTGCAGGCCCATGTTCCTGCCCACTAAGCTATCCTGCTGGCCCCCCTTAATCTTCTGTCTTTTTATAAATTTTATATTTATTATTATTGTTGTTGCTGTTGTTGTTTGAGATAGGATTGCTCTGTGTAGCCTGGCTGTCCTGGAACTCACTTCATAGACCAGGTTGGCCATGAACTCAGAGATCTAGCACTGGGGTTAAAGGCATCAGTGTCTCAACTGCCTGGCTCATTATATGGATTTTCAATAGATGTTTCAAATCCTTTATTATGCAAGCAAGAGTAATCATATCCTATTTCGAGAGGAGATGAGGCTGTATTCCCCCATCTTTGACACCTTGAGTTCTCTGCGGGTCTTAGGAAAGCAAGGACTCCTCTACGGAACAAGCAGAGAGATCCTGCCTTTTCCTGGTCTGAGTAGAAAGCTTCACACCCCCGCTCATGCTCCCCTCCTAGCTCTGTGTCATGCTCCAGTGGGGCTGGGGGGATGAGGGAAGCCCCCGAGGGATGCTTTTGGTTCAGACTGCAGGAGCGCTCCACGGGGACAGCTCATCTCTCTACCTGCCTCGGCACTGAGGTGGACTGATGTCACCAGGGCATTCTATTCCGGACACTTCTTCCCGCAAACACTTTTACATCCCTCTACACACCCAACCCTCATCTGCTGGGTGGGCGCTCTCCACTCCTGGCTGTCACCCAGCCATGCGCAAGCCATGTGCAAGGGCCATCTGTTGTCCTGCCTATGAGCTCCAGCTGGTGGCTTGAGCTATTTTCATTTAGCATCAGAAGGATCCTGACTCCCTGATGGAACATTTCTTTAATCAAAAGGACATGGGTTGGTGGGGCTGCCCAGTGGGTAAAGACATTTGTCACCAAGCCTGATGACCGAGTTTAAGCCCCAGGACCCACATGGTGGAAAGAGAAGAGATTCCATCAAGTTGTCCTCTGACCACCACATCTATGTATTCATAACGAAGAAATGAACAAATATACACATGGAAAATATTTTTTAAAGGGTGTATTCATCATTTGTGTTCCTGTGTGCCCAGTGCTGCTCTTAGGACTCTTAGGGGAAACCTTGCCGGTAAAGACACTCCCAATTCCTCCTCGCACATACCCCAGAGGGACTCTGACCCCAGAGCCCTAGAGACAGAACAAATGTGGCCAGAATTTGCAAACATGGCCTCACTGGGTTTCTCCTACTACTAAGGGTTCAAAATCAAGCTTAAAGAACATGATGAAGTTTGAATAATTCCTTCGCAGGACCCAAAGTCGAGATGTACTGATCCCAAGACATATCTGTTGCCCTGTGATCACTTCAATAGACACGTGAGCACTACTTTCAACATGCTAAATCCTATCCTCAATACAGTGTTGGCTCCTGAGGTGCTTGCCACCTGAAGAGACGAAGACTTAGAATCTGGGCTGCAGAGAAGGCTCAGTGACTGAGAGCATTTACCGCTATGCCAGGAGATAGGCGCTGGCTCCCAACCATCTGCAACTCCCACTGTGGAGGAGATGACGCCCTCTTCTGGACGGCTAGGCTACTTGCATATGTGTAGCACATATACAGATACCCAAACACATAAAATTAAAATAAAATTTTGCCGGGGGGGATGGTGCATGCCTTTAATCCCAGCACTAAGAGGGCAGAGATAAGCAGATCTCTGTTCAAGGTCAGCCAGTTCTACATAGTAACACCCTGTTTTTTTTTAAAAAAACAAAGTCCCCCCCCAAAAAAAATCTTTTAAAAATGCTAGTCTCAATCTAGTCAGAAGTGGGGGGAAGGATAGAGAAACCCAGGGACTCATATTTTCATTTTAAATGTCTGTGCTCCAGCACGAATGGCCAGAAGATGTCACTGCTAACCTATGACAGAGCTAAAGTTCACAAAACTCTGGGATCCATTCATTAGAGGCCCATGACCACTGCTTAAGATGGGGCCTCATGGGGCTGCAACAAGCCCCAAGGTTAGTCAAGGTTTTCCCAGGCTGTTTCTTGGTCATTACCAGGTAAACATAAAGTTGCCTGTGCCACTTAAAGCACACAGACTGAAAATGAGAACCTGGAAAGGACCACGGCGACACACGCCTGAGATCGCTGGGACACTGAGACAGGAAGATCCGGAGCTTGAGGACCGCGGAGCTACCTATGGATCGAGTCCCAGGTGAGCTTGGGCTACAAAATGAGATCATTTCTCATTTCTCCCCTCAAGTCAGGGCAAATCTGGCCAGATCTTTGTATAACAGAGGAGTGAGAAGTGTGTATGGTGTTTTTTTTTTGTCTAAATTGCTGTAATTCAAGCTATACACTGCCAAGTGTTTATATGGTGTACACACATGCCTCTTATAGTCTCACTATACAGACATCTCTATACTGTCTTTGCCATCCTTCCAAAGCTACATATAAAATTGAAGGAGATGTCCTTCCTACAGAGGCTTGCCCAATGCCACCAAGGTTGCCTCTAAGAGACAGTTAGGACATTGCTGACTTGGAAGTAGAAAGAAGTGGCCCAAGCCAGTCAGGAGCAAGGGTGGCCAGCAGGGCCACTCTTGAAGGTCACAAGGTTCATGAGGCCAGCTCCTCTGCACACCCATGGTCCTGGTCACCTCTGTCATAGGCACATAGCACACAACACAGTCTCACAACACACACGGACTTCAGCGCCATCATTTCCCACGTGCAGCTGGGCTCCAGCCCCCATTTCTGAGAAGGGCAGAGAAGCAGATAAGAAGGGGTTGGGAGCATGGTTTCTTTGAGGCAAAGCAACAGTCTGGCACGTCCATGAGGGGCTGGGGACCAAGCACACCCGGCCTGAAGCCCAACTAGGAAAAAGGGTGTTCTTCTAAACCTATCACAGGTCCCACAGGGAAGGCTGACATGGGACCTCAAGAGAATTTTCTATCTAAACCTAACACCTTCAGAAGGTCTAAGGTTCAAGATGAAAGGGCTGCCCCAAATATATCTCTATATTCTTTTGATGAAATGAGTCCTCTAAGGGGAAGTCCTGACCCGAGTGACATGCTACCTTGCCCCAGTATGCGAGTTCTCTCTAGGATCCCCGTGTATATGTCACCAACAAGGCGTTGGCCGAGCAGGAAATCTGTGCCGTCCACACTGTAACTAGAGCTGGCACTCTGTAAGGAAGTAGTCTCTACCTGCCAGCCTTGCTGATCACCACAGACTGTAGCAGGCTTCGGAGCCGGGGCACACAGCACTCCAGGTCTGAATAAAATTGATTTTAAGGCAAGTTTTTTGGACCACACTCATCAAGCATGGCCTTTGTCTCAAATGGAGTGAATGTCTTATGCTTCTTCTAAAAGACTGCCAGAATGAGGCTAGGGAGTTGGCTCAGAGGTTAAGAGCACTGGCTGCTCTTCCAGAGGTCCTGAGTTCAATTCCCAGCAACCACATGATGGCTCACAACCATCTATAGTGGGATCTGATGCCCTCTTCTGGCAGGCAGGGATACAAGCAGTACACTCTTACATAAAATATAAATAAAAAATCTTTTTAAAAAAAGGTTGGCAGAATTAGATTTTTACTCTCCAACACACCAAGAAACCTTTAAAATGTTAACCCATCAAACGCACAGCAACCTAGATAAATACAAGAACAAGTCTCCACAGGTTACAAAGCACAGTCTTAGACACGGCTTTCTGTCATTCTTAGGATAGCTAATGAAACGTCACCACATTCCTTTCAAAGAAGTGGAAACTGAGGCTCAGAGAAATGAAGTGGCTGCTTAAGACGAAACCTAATCAGTGAGGTAGAATGTGGCTCTGGTGTCCCGAGTGTCCTGGGCATCAGTGGGTACATTCACTACTGAGTCACAGTGGCCCCTGAAAGACCCAGGCCCTGCTCTGTGCCTGTATTTTCACCGTAATGGTTAATAAGCAACAGGCAAAGCTTTGGGGATAAAAACAAGTTTTCTAACCTCTTCTAACTGGAAGGGAGGTGAAGGGGACCCTGGTGATCGCTTCCTGGAAGGGAGGGAACCCTTCTGATATCTTCCATTCTCTTTCCTCTTGAGCAGCACTGGGGAGACTAGCATGCAGCAGGAGATACATGCAAGGCAATACTGTATCCACTCCTGCCGCCAGCCTAATAGCAAGAACTAGTCACTCCCAGTTTAGAAACACCACGCCCAGAGCAGAGCCCACCAGCATGGTATGCGCTGCATCTGCCTATCTCAGGAAGGCGTCTAGAACTGCTGGGGACCCACAGCTACCTCGGCAAGAGTGATCCATCTTGTTGAACTGGAAGTAGCCGGACTTGCACTGACACAGGGCCACGCCATCCAGGTCGGTGCAGATGGAGGTCTCTTTGTCACACTCTGGACTCTTCCGCTTGCACAAGCTGCCCGCTGGGATGGGAAAACAAGATGGTGAAACCAAACCAAACCTTGTCTTCACACCTTACAAGGCATGAACTTGTTATTTCAAGAGGCTGAGAGTCTCTGCGGAGCCGTACTCCGCTCAGAGGACCTGCACAGCCTTTGCCCCTTGTTTCCGGGTCACTGCCAGTAAATACGTATTCACAAGCATTCCCTATGGAGAAACCAAACCGAGGAAGAAAAAGGCACTGTCCAATCTACAAATGCAGCCTCTGTGTGGTGTATGCTGTACCCTCACGTTAAAGGACTGGGTGTAGGGGCAGGTAAAAGAGCTGAACAAACCCAGAAAATGTGACCACGTGCTTAGGGAGTTGAGCGTTTGGAGCAGTTCTGGCCACACCAGTCTCAAGTGGAAGCATATCTGGGCTCTGTGTGTCCTCAGGGGCCTAGGACCATTCCTTTGCTGTGCGCCCGGTGTGCTGCCTTTTTTCGAGTTTATTACAGGGCCGGGGTTGAATGGTAATCTGGTTTCCCAAGGTTGGCAGGAAGCTGTTTGTCTGGCTGTCTTCCCACTATGGTGGTAGTTTCTTGAGGTTTATTCAGCATAGGGTCTTGAGCACAGAGACCAGCAAGTGAGCATGTGCGGGCTGGGGTGGTGGTGGTGGCCCTCCTGGCCCGTCAATCACCACACCATCATCAGGAGAAACAGAAGCAGGCAAGGAAGGAGGCCAGCTTTAAGGGCACGTCCAGGTTCATTTGTGAGCATTATTTACCTCATGGGTGATGAAGAATCTGTTTATCTGTAGCAAAAAGTATCCACTGCTGGGCACACAGTCCTTTATGAGGTTTTATACAGCAAACACAATGAGATAGACAAAGGGGCACTGGTAAATGGGGGCACAGAAGGAACAGGATTAGGAAACCAACTCGACAGGGACTAATAACTCATCCACACGTGTACAAGGCAAAGGAAGATAGATGTGCGCTGTTGCTGTTGGGAGCCAATAGCGAGGTCAACGTGGGGCAGGAGCGGCGACGAGACGGGCGGTATGGCCACTGCTGAAGAGTGGGTGTCAGCTTTATAGGCATGGTATCCCCTCTTCTAGCTCAAAGAAAAGACCCCAAGCTCTTCAGGAGGTTCCTGTTATTAACACTGCAAAATTAACCCTAGTCTGGACAAGTTCTGGTGATGCGAGCTGATGCCAGGGCTTGACAGCCCACGTGGAACTCCCAGCATCCACCCCTCTGAGAGACAGCCTGGTCCCAGCGGGGTGAGTTAGGGTCCAGCTTCAATGCTCAGTGCCGCATTTCCTGCCTTTATCAGTGCAGCTGACGTGCTAAATCGGAGTTCCTTTGTTCATTGTGAAAAGCTTGTATTCAAGGGGAAACTTAAACGGGAAACAGTCTCACCAGGCAAACTCTGCAGAGCTGGTACCCGGGAGGACCTCAGCCTCCACGACCTCTCATCCGACTTCTCTGAGACCTCTCATCCGACTTCTCTGAAGGCTCTGCCAGCCAACTGGTTAACAGAGAGTAACACCTCCGGGATACAGCCTTGTTCAGGCCATCCTAGCCTGGGAAATGCCCGGTCTGATTAGGTATTTTCTGGAAGCTAATGTTAAATTTTCCTTCCATCCTCTCAACCGATCTGGGCTGTTAGCAAAAGTATTCATTGCCGTGCCAAAGCAGGCATTTCCTGCCCAGCGTCAGACTCCTGTTTGAACAGGGAGGGCAGGTCCGGCCCCCGCCACGAGGAGCCACTTTCCTCAGCCTTCACAAAGAACATCTTTCGTAAAGCCACCCAACAGGGCCTCGCAGAGTCTCACTTCGGTCGATCCCTGGTGATGGGAGTCTTTGGCACTCACAATTCCCATGGTCTTTCCTGGGCATTAGCATCCAGCAAAATAGACAATGGGCACTCACGTGCATCTAAGGTCGAGGCGTTCCATGGGGCATTTCCATAGCCCCCAAGCCTCAGGTCATGAGAACCAGAGGGCTTTGAAAGAAGGAAGGTGGACATCTAGGGAACTGGAGGAGAAAACCATGCTTGCCAGTAACAATGTCGAGGGCAGCCTCGTTGCCCAGAGGCTGGAAATCCAGATGTGTAGCACCTGCCAGCCTAGTCTAACTCTCTAGCTCCAGAAAAATTACCAAGAGACAGAGTTGGACCTCTTGGTCAAACCTACAGAAGGTCTGGAGGAAAAACGGGGATGTGAGCCCAATTCTGGCTAATATGCATGGCTGACTAGAAAGGAGCAGTGGGGATGCCCTCAAGGTGACCGGTGACTGGTGACCGGAATCTTCCCATAAACCACGTGGGGGCAGACCAAGCAATGCAGCTGAGTGAGCAGGCATGGCTAGGAACAGGCTCTTGCAAATCCACATAACCAGCCCACTTGATCTGAAAAGCACAGATGCGTTGCTGGCAACAGGAAAATGCCCCGACTCAACGCTGACCACACAAAGTACAGTCCAGAGATGGTTAGCAAACTGAAGGGTACCTACTTCAGAGGGAGGGAAAAAATGGTACCCTTGGGTCCTTGGCAAGAGAAACAAAAGCATAAAACCAGAGAGCCTCAAAGTTTCCAGCACACTGTAACAGGGCATGGACTTTGAAACAAGACACTTTGACTCTCCCCGGTTCCGTCCATTTCCCCCATTACTAAGCAGCAGCCCCAGGAGCTTCTCTGACAATGGAGGACAAGCGCCAACTCCCAAGCTCTGAGGTGCACTCGCTCATGCAAGGGAAGCCCCTGGACCAGCAGTTACGAAACCCCGACCTACTGGGAATATCCTAGACCAACCAGCGGATATGGCACCAAAACCCGATATCTTCAGTTTGTGTCTAACATCTGGATGCCAGATGGGGAGGCTTAGCCTAGGCTCTCCTTCCCTTGACATCCCTCAGCCAGGGCTACAACAAACTAACCAGAGCCCACTTTGATCACTTACAACGTGCCAACAGGGACTAGCTCTGTCTTTGCCTAGAGGCAGTTCTGACTGCAGCAAGTTTTCCTCTCCCAGATGTCAAACTGTCCCACAAGAGGCAAGTGTGCCTTCCAGAGTTGTCTTTAATTGCCTTCTTCACTGGCCTTCCCCTAACACGAGCCAAGAGCCTCTGACAAAAGAGCCAAGAACCGAGGAAGGGATATCCTCAGCACTACAGCATTCCTGGGAGTATCCTGCTGAGCATCCTTCCGATTAGCTTATTTTTTTTTTTTATGATCGAAAACAATCAAAAGACAGGTAACCCTACAATGGGTCTTTGTGTTTTCTTAGTAATCACCATATGAAGGTTGCGGGATCATTGACAAGTCTACACACTCTGTACATCACTTTCAGTCTCCCTAGGAAACAGGAGTAATATCTCTGGGTTCTGTCAGCTCCTGTAGCATCTTCTCACCCCGGCGCTGTATGCAAGAAACAGACAGAGTTGGCTGCTAAGCACTAGATGCCTAAAGGTCATGCACAGACAGAACTGTGTGCATCTGGGTGTCATGAAAGCCCGTACTTCAGACATTCTAATGTCAGGCTCCGTGATGGAGCTTTCCTGGGCCTGAGCCCTTAACACTTCCACGTCTCTCTGGTTTCCATGAGTCCTAGAGGAATCAATCCCCTCTTACCTCTAAAGATCCGCCTCTGAGACCCCAAGAGCTGGCAGACTTCAGCAGAGGACCTGCAGGAGTTGACGTATTTCTGGATTCCATCAGCCAGGTCGAAGAGTGTCACGTTAGAGGCCAGGGAAAAGGTGGACTGCAGTGAGATCACCACTGTGCTGGGCTCTCTGTTGGCAAAGTCAGTAAGTTAACTGGCATGTGGGTCCCGGGCGTTGCTACTACCATTCTCCAGTGAAAGAACGGGAGAGCATGAAGGACCAGCGACCTTGGGTTACCCAGTGGACTGGTCATAAAGCAGAGACTGGCTTCATTTTGATCACCCATGTGGGAACAGCCCCCCTCCCCATTCCACAGACCTCCATTCGCAAGCCAAAGAAATTCTGTTTCTTACCTAGACACACGGACTGTAGATCGGATATAACCAGGCAAAGTCGAGAAACACAAGTTTAACTGAAACCAAGAACAAGGCTGTCAGACAAAAATCCCTGAACCAAGAAGCAATTCCCAATGCTCAGGATAAAATAAGCAGCATCAAGCCATCGAGTTATCAGCAGGCAGCTTTACCCAGAGCAGTGCAACCTTGTATCCCCCGCCCGAATGTCTTTCTGTTGTTCCCCCAGAACAAAGGAAGCAGCAGGGCAGAGAGTGGGGAAATCACGGCAGGAAATGATGCTCAGAGCAGCCCCCTCGGAAACAAAACATCTTCAAAGGAGAAGATCCCTTCTAAGGTCTAGGGTTTGAAAAAACGCAGGCAACTATTTATTTGAACTCTGCACAGAAAACAAGCTCCGCTCCTCTCGGCTCCCCAGGTCTGATGGGCCCTACCGGCTCCTCAGCATCTACAATGAGCTGACCTCACTCAAAGGTAGGTCTTCCTCAGAAAGACGCTCTGTGGGAAACTACATGACGTGGGTCAAGAGCCCTTTTGTTGAGAACAAATTAAGAGCTATGTGTTTGCTTTGTGCCCCAGAGAGAGCAGAAAGACTCTCGGCCGCATAAAGCAATGTGCCTGCCTTCTGACCAAAGGAGCCGAGCTGGGGGCTCCTTTTATGGAGCAGAGAGTCTCAATATCTCATCCCGGGCAGACCCGCCTGTCTTCAAAGTTAGCGTTACAGAGCCCCCTGACTTGGGAAGACGGGGTCAAGCTGGGATGTTATCAAATGGCTGGCAGATCTGTATACCATCGCTTTATGTGCTAAGAGCAATGGTTTACTATTGTTGCTTTATTATTGCCCTTTTTATCCAGGTATGAACAGAACGCCATCGTGGGAATGTTTGTGCTTGTGGCATTTAATTCTTTATGTTAGTTGGGGTCAGGTGTATCCTGGCTCAGGTGTATCATATGGTGATATCTGACCAACCAAACAAGAAATATTTAGGCAAGTTGCTTGGTACCGTGGAACATAAAGGACTGTACTTTTGCACAGGGCTCTAACCCCCTATACTATGTGAGAAGATGTCTACCTGCAGAATAGCCAGGCGGCAACAGTGAATCTACTTTTGACTATAGAGGTCATGCCTCTGCCCTTGTGAGGCAGTTTCTAAGTCTCACAGTGTCCTTCTTGATAATAATGATTTTATTAAGCTGGGAATCCTGGGCCATACCAGAGCATCTTCCATAGTCCCTGTCACCAGCCATGAGATCACACTCATCGTGTGGACAACAGAGGGAACTCTGGGTCATAGGGCAGCAGCTCAGCCTCTACAGTGCCTAGGGACTGAAGTCAGTCATATGGACAGTCAACCACGTCTATATGGCAAAGGCCAAAGAAATGCTTCAGACACCAAGGCTCAGGTGAGCATTGCAGTTGGCAGTATGACATACAGTCCCACACTGTTGGCAAGAGGTACCAGCGATGGCAATACCACCACAGCGGCAGAGCAGCCAGAAACTCTGCACTTGGGACCCCCAGACTCTGCCCCATGCATATTGCCCCTTAGCTAATTTTAACTTAAAGCCTTTTAGTGCAGTGAACCATCTATACGAAGATACTGGCCTCCAATAAGTTCTGGGGGTCCTCCCAGTAAATTCCTGAAATTTGGGGTGCTCTTACAAGCCTGCCCACTTGCAGTTAGTAACACAGGTGACCTAGGGGACTACTCTCAACTCTGCTTCCACTTAATGTGGACTCAGAAAATGCCACCTACTTCCAGAGCCCCCTCCCCCGCCCCCGGTCGTCCATGTGAAAATGTGTCACCGACCTTCTTACAGGCCTGAGCACCTAGCATAGTCCCTGTCACAGATTAAATGCTCAGTAGACAGAGACATGGAATTAAAATACAAATAAAATCCACAGTCCTATAAGAACACCTAATTCCTGAATAATATATGAATTCTAATTTAATGTAACAGCAAATTTAATTTAATTTAATTTAATTTCATCCCTAATTTAGTATAATGGCAAATTTCAGTTCCCAAACACCAAATCTTCAACTTGGGTAGCAACCAAGAACAAAATATATTGCCTGAATTTAGTTTTTATTTCTTTTTTTTTCCATTTTTCTTTTAGATATAAAAGCAAAGAGGAAAAGAGCAACATCTAAGGTCCCTGGATAATTTACATTGTGAGCTCACAAGCCCAGGTAATTGTATCAGGCCGCTGGCATCCCTCAAGGTGAAAGAGTGGCCTTTCTAAGCTCTGAAAACACAAGCAGAAGGTCATATCAGGTGTCAACAGCAGACGGGACACAGGGACACGAGGGTTTCCTGGGTCTTTCCTCTTCGCCCAAAGCCCGCCCTGAGGCAGGGCAAACACTCTATGTGATGACTATGTGTTTGCACAGGAAAAAGAAACAGTGTAGCAGCCAGGACTGCCCATGGAGATGGATCTGCAGCTGAACTCTTCCTGGACACCGCAGATCCCAGCACCTTTCTTCTGTTTCCAAGACACTTTCTACTTCAGTCTGGGGGAGAAGGGCGACCCTGAGTAGTGACCATCTCTGAATGAAATCTGGTCCAGAAAACAAAGGTGGAGCACAAAGCATTCTTTCGGGGAAACTTACGGTTTGTGCCATCTTGTTTTCAACCTCGTGAGCGTCGGAATGGTTTTCCACAGTAGTATTAAGAAAAGTCTTCTTTAACTTAAACTCAGTCACGAAGGTTCTAACTGAAGAGGAAAATGTGGCCTGTTAAGCCATACAACAAAGAGACCCACGGAAGGCTATGTATTCAGGAACCTCTGGGATGACCCGCTTTATTCCCCCAGAGGACAAACTGTGTGAACCTTCTTGAGGGTGAAGACCACGCCTTCCTCTTCTAGAAGGCAACCAAGGGGCGACAACGGAGCAAGGCAAACATTTGCAGTAGGTGCAGACTCCAAAGTGCTAAAGATTGCACAATCACCAGCCACATAATGAAAACAACCCGCATTAGAACACCACTGGGTCCAGAACCGGGGAAAGCATCCTCGTTTTAAGGCCCATTTCACTCATAAAATAGAATTCTAGTTAACACCAATTGGGGCTGATTGGGCCTAAGGGGACTGGGACTTGAAAATGGGCAGACAACCAAAAATTAGTACAGCCTGTTTTTAGAACTGGCATGTATCTTTCATTATATTAAAATCATATCTTTCCCTCTGGATGGAAGAAAAATAACCCGAACCACAGAGGCCTGGGCGTCCTTTCTAGCAGGGAAAGCATGCATGCCGAATTAAGAGGAAGGCCAGCAACCGAGCCAGGGAAAACATCTAACATTTTAGAGTTAACTGCCGAAAGCCCCTAATCCTTATTTAACATCCTTGTGCTTGCTTGTTCTACAGTTCAGTGAAGCCAGCTGCTTAGGACTCTTTCTGAACAGCAGGCAGCTCTTTGAAAACACTCTTGGCCCAGCAAAAGCATTTCGGCGTGCTCTAATTTGCATGTTCCTGTGACGTTTGCGAACAATGAAGCCAAATGACTTGAAAAGGGAAAGATGGCACTGCTGGCGCAATTGAGCTGCTTTCCTCCCATCTGTGCTACCTGTGGGACGCGCTGCACACAAGCTCCCAGGACTGTCACCTGACTCAGCCCTCTTCACTCCTCACACAGGTTCAAATCCAGACTCTCCATATAAAAGTGTGCACAAGATGAAGGTTAGGCACACAGAAGTTTTCTGAATGTACCTTCTGTTTTCAGCATGAGAAATGTTGCCTGCCTTCACCCGAACCCTGGCCTCTTTCCTAGAAGGAATTTGCTGAAGGTGTTTATTTATGTAGGGTTTTCTTGAGACAGGGTTTCAAGAAACCCTGTGGAGGTCTGGTTGTTCTGGAACTCGCTCTGCAGACCAGGTGGGCCTCAATCTCACAGAGATCCGCCTGCCTCTGCCTCCCGAGTGCTGGGATTAAAGGTGTGCACCACCATCACCTGGCTGCTGAAGGTATTGTACCTCTGTGGAGATGAGGCTGTGTTTGCCTTCAAGTTACTACTTATTGTAAAAGCAGTGGCTTTTAGCCAATGCTTTGCCTGGGTGACTCCACTTTATAAGCTGCATTTGACTCTATTTCATGCTGTGGACAAAGACACTCCCTCCTGCCCAGAACCATCCATAGGGCACAGACTGATATCTTTCAAGAATATATCAAACTAGATTGGGTCTTTGTATAAGTATACAGCTTATTAAAACTTATTGGAAAGCAAGGCCCTAAAGCTGAGGAAACACACCAAGGAACGGTGCAGCACCCTCCTCTGTATCCCCATAAGGAGGAAGATATCTACCATGCCTACGGTAATGCCCCAGCAACTATCTGCACACCCAGGATGCACAAAGACTGCCTGACTGTACACAGGGCTTTAGCTTGGCTAAGTCTCCACTGTCGACACGGTATTTATTCCCTGTCCCTTTGTCCATCTGGACCCTGTCCTGCATAGGACATCATGCCTATGGCCTACACGGGCCTGCTCCTCTCCAGCTCATCTCGCCCAGTGTGCGCCTCTGCAGCACTACAGCCCGGCTCCTGATGTAACAGCTAAAGGGAGTCTCTTCTCATCTGCATCAGCTCTCTGCCACCTTAACCTTTGTGTGGTCATTCTGTAGCCAACACACCCATGCGCACGCTTGTACACACACACACACACACACACACACACACATGCACACATGCCTACAACACACTGATGTATAAAGTGTGATCTCAGAGTTAATATTAGTAATTAAATTTGGAATAAAAGAACCTATGCTTGCCAATGGCCAGCTATCAAGGGAAATCAGAACAACTTGGCAAATTATAGCAAATGAAATTGAAGTAGCCTGTGAATTTATTGTTACTCAATAAATTCTGACATTGTGGAAAGACACAGATGTGTCCGTGTTTCTAATAGAGTTAGTGTATTCAAGACAGCTTATGTAACTGCAGTTACATCATCTACACGGGTATTTTTAAAAAAATTATTACATTTATTTACTTTGTGTGTGTTTTGTGCAGGCATGTGTGCATGTGCGTGTGTGTTCATGTGCCAAGGTACCCTTGTGAAAGCCAGGGAACAGCTTGCACGAACTGGCTCTCTCTATCATGTGGGTTACAGGAATCAAATTCAGGTGGTCAAACTTGACAACCAGTGCCGTTACCTGTTGAACCCTCTCGCTGGCCCAAGACAGATTTTCACCTCAGCTTAACTGCTGCCTTAACCAGGGACCTGTAACAACGACTCTGCATTGACAGCAGTTGGCTTTCATAGCATCCAGTCTGGTGAATGCTGCCTCCCATCTGGACAGCCCTTTCCCACACTCAGAGTGTGTTCCAAAAGATCATGGTATTCGACATTCCCAAACCTTGAGCGAGAAGTGGAGCAGACTGCAATCTGATTTCACAGATGAGGAACTAGAGGTTTCGGCTCTGTGTTCGCAGGTGCTGGCTAAGGGCCTGAAGCCAGGCATTTGAAACCTGACAAGTGTACTTTCCAGAGGACTTCAAAACACAAACGAAAATGGAAATATTCCCACCTTCTTCATCCTTCAACTGCGCACTCTTATCTAGTTCCCCAGAGGGTGTGGCGACATGAATCAGGGTACCCAAATGCACATCAACTGTTAGACAGAGAGGAATTCTTAATTTTTGACTCATGACTACACCTGTAGATTTTTCTTTCTAAAATAACGCTCAGTTCTTGTTTTTCAACCATCTTTCAAAATTCTTATTTTAGGGACGTGCCAGCCTTAGGAAGCCCCTTCTGCCTATGCGTAATAGGAATTCATACAGACAACACCCGCAGAAGACACAGACATCGGTTCTCTCAAAAACACTGGCTGGGGGGCACTTGTGTGAGAGGTGTCACCCTGGGCAACTGAAGCTGATTCCAAGGCCAATCATTTTCTCAGCCAGTTTCTTTCCACAGCGCTGAAACTGTATTTCTCATTCTAATCTCTCCAGCAAGCAAGGTATTAAATTCAGCAACCCAACGAGGGGCACGCCCTGTGTGCAGGGATGCTCTTCAAATGAGCCCACGCTTGTAGAACAGACAGAACTGGAGGCTGGGAACCAGGACTCAGCAGCGGTGACCCAAACTTGGCTGCTGAGTGTCTCCTCAGAGTCTTAGTTCTCACTGGATTTGTTGATTTGCGTTTTAACCTGAAGGATGAGAAGTGAATTTGGAACTAACCAGCTTCATGGAGCTGCCAAATGAGGAACAAAATATGGCCGATAAGGTGGCCAGCAGCTGTGTCAAAATGTACCTGTCTGTGGCGAGCAACGTGAGGACCGCTTTTAAAAACATGAAGAATGTGTGCACACAGAGGGCAAGCAGAATCGTACCCTTTTCTCGCTCTAAAATCACAAAACAACCATACAGTGGGAATAACTACAGGGTAGAACGGGTTGAGCAAGCAACACTATGCACAAATATGACGTAGGCATTAAGATATTTGTACTTTTTAGTAACAGGAAGATACTTTATGGATATGTCTTGAATTTAAATAGATGTACATCAACAAATAGTTAAGAAAAGCATCGCAGCTCCAAGTGTTAGAATCATAAGCCCCATGCTTCCCTTCCTTCCATATTCCTGAATTTTATATCTTGGGGGAAAGACTGGCTTTGATTTGGAAGAAAAACAGTCAATACGTTCTAAGACAGACGTAACTCTCTTACCCAGATTGCATATTCCTTTCTCCAACTGATACCCGACTGGGCACCTGCAGGTGAAGGATCCCTGAGTGTTGTTGCACATGGCCAGGGGCGGACAGGGGCTCGAGAGGCATTCGTTCACATCTGCAGAGGAGGACGAGCAAGAGCATGTTGACGGGGTGGCAGACAGAGAAGTATAAGCCCGTGTGTACTGAGAGCTCCACTCTGTGGAGCATGGTACAAAAGAAGAGCAGGAAACCACCCTGGTCCTCAGGGTGACTACCTGTCAGGGCAGAGGCAGCCATATGAAGAATTAACTAGAATACAAGGCAGGATTTGGATGTACAGAGCTGTACATAGCTCTAGTTGTTTATTATTATTATTATTATTATTTGTTGTTGTTGTTGTTGTTGTCGTTGTTGTTTTGAGACAGTGCCTCATCCTTTCATCCCTGACTGGCCTGGAACTCACCATGTAGACCAGGGGAGCCTTGAACTCACAGGGTCCCACTATCTCTGGCTCCTGGGTGCTGGGATCAAAGACATGCCCAGAAGAAATAGTAGACTTTGATGCAGGGGGAGAATTAAAGAATGTTTTTAAATATTATTTAAATATAAATAAGGCTAAAGGGATGTCAACAAGCATATCGTTGTGGGGAGGCTAAGATTCCAAACTGAGGAACCAGCAGAGTAAATGCCCAGGGCAGGAGAGTGTAGGTGTCTTTAGGGAGCTGGAGATAGTTCAGTGTTGCAGGGGTGTAGCGAAGGTACGGAATAGAACCAGGTCAAAAGTTTGTCTGCCTGCATCATGCTGTGATCCTTCATATCATATACAACACACCAGCATGCTAACACTCAAGCGAGAAGGCTATTCAACTAAAATTCTTACCTCGTACACTCTAGAAGAAAAAGGCTCTTTTAAAAAGAATTGTTTGTAATTACGTATATGTATGTGAACACATGAGTGCAGGTGCCTGCAAAGGCCACAGGTATCCAATTCTTTTGGTGCTAAAATTCTAGGCAGTTCTGAACTGCCGGGTATGGGTGACTGGCCCTCTGCAAGCACAGTACTTGCTGTCAATCCTGGGAAAAGGATCTTACTGGATAGCCCGACCACCCAAGGTAGCATTATAGAAAATGTCCCGCCTCGCTTACCCACACTGCAGTTGTCCCCTTGCCAGGCAGGTGGGCACACACATCGATACCCACGACTCACGGTGAGGTCCACGATGCACTCGCCATCATGAAGACACGGGTTCACGGTGCAGCTGTTGACTGAGCAAACAGACCGCGGGAATAGTACAGGCAATGTCAAACATCTCATTCTCTCGGCTAAGGTTTGGTTCTCGCCCGTGTTTGTTTGTCCTGAGAAATCGCACCGCTAAGACAGCACAGGGTCCCAAAAGGTGTGAAGACAGAGGTGCTGAAACTGGGCACTGGCACTAGTTTGCCTTCACAGTAAGTGCTAGGTACTTAGATCCCGAATGCAAGCGTGCATATTAAATGCTTCTTGCAGGCCTCTCTGTGCAGGACTGATGATTATATTTCTGCTGTGGTACTTAGAAAATTCTACTAGGCTAGTGAATGCCAACTTAAAACACATTTCAAGGTGGAGAGAATCCCTGGCAACGTATCCTGCCTGCTCCAAGATTCACTCTGTGTGCACACAAGTGCACACATATGCATGGCTTCCTTTTTCTCTTGGACTTTGTTAAAACTATAGAAACCTTTATCCGAAAATCTTGAAACACATATACTTGAAGTTGCTATGTTTTTTGTTGTTCTGTTTTATTTTGAGATGGTCTCATGTAGCGTGGGATGGCCTCAAATTAATTATATAGTTCAGACCGGCCTTGACCCCTCACCTCCAATCCACTTAACTCTACCTCCCAAGTGCTGGGATTATACATTCACCACCAAGGTTCAGTTTACAAATGTCTCGAAATTTAACCTGGCTTCCACAGATGGTACACCATTGAGAAAATTATCAGTTAAGCATCACAGTGCCCTCTCTTTTTCCTTCTTATTTATTTATTTATTTATTTATTTATTTGTTATGTGGACAGTATTCTGTCTGCATGTACACCTGCAGGCCAGAAGAGGGCGCCGGATCTCATTATGGATGGTTGTGAGCCACCAATGTGGCTACTGGGAATTGAACACATGACCTCTGGAAGAGCAGCCTGTGCTCTTAATCTCTGAGCCATCTCTCCAGCCTCTTTGCTTTGCTTTTTAAGGTGTGGTCTCATGTAGTTCAATGCTGGTCTCAAACTCCTAGGTGGACTGGGATGACAGGGAACTTCTGAGTCTCCTGTCTCCGCCTCCCAGCTGCCAGGATTTCAGGCATCTCATGCTCAGCTTTTTCTCTCCATGTACAAAACGGGCCCTACCTGGAGCCACGAGGGGCTTTCTGGGTAAACTCTAAAGTCGCCTTGGCCTCTTACTCCTTATCCCTGCCCACACTCTGTTTGACTCTATAATTAGAAGGTCCATGCTCCGGTTGTGAAATGCTGTTTCACTGGGGGTTTGAAACACTTTTAGGAAAGCCCGAAGCCAACAAACCAGGGTCATCCTTTGCAGGAAGGAAATCACTGGGGAATAGGGAAATAAGACAGACGTTGGGGCCTTCAGAAGAGTAACCTGAAACAGATGGGCCACTCTAGACACGACAGGCTTACCCTTCATGGCTACTGTGGAAACTTACTTATTAAAGTTGAAACTTTATTATTATCTTATTCTGAGATTATGTGTATGTGGAGGGACATGGTATGAGCACGCGGGTGCACTGCTCATGTGTGTGTGGAGGAACATGGTATGAGCACGCAGGTGCACTGCTCATGTGTGTGTGGAGGGAGATGGGTATGAGCACCTGGGTACACTGCTTATGGAGGCCAGGAGAAGGCATTCATCCCCCTAGGACTGAAATTACAAGCAGCTGTGAGGTGCTCCATGTGGGTGTTGGGGACCAAACTGAGGGCCACTACAAGAACACTGTGCCCTCTAAACAGACGCTGAGTCATCTGTCCAGCCCCACACTTTAAGTGTTACCTAGCATCACCTATACGAGCAGAACACCTATGTAATTAAACATGGAGCTCATTACATAAGTCTATAGTTCCCGGTGTATATGCTGCAAGCCCCTATCCACAGGAACTGAGTCTGGTGACTGGTATTGACTATATTGGTCAGTAGAAATGAAGATGCCTTTTTCTGTAGAAACAACCATCTTTTACTTCTTAGACATACTCAGATTGCTGAGAAGGGGGCACTGTAGACTAGCAGGGGGGGTGGCTTATGACCCTGCGCCCCCAGGTTCATCTTCACTGACTAATTGTTATTATACCACTAACAGAGCTCTCTGCCATAGTCATCAAACTGTGTCCCCTTCTTTCCCTCTCACTTAAGATGGCGTCTGTCTTGCCATCCTCAACAGCAGTTCGCCCTTCCTGAGTCTGGATCAACTACAAGTGCATTGTGAGCACCACATCCTGCCGTCCCTGCTTCTACCGTTCTTCGCCCTGGGCTGGCTTTCTTTTCCTTACACTGGTACCTTCAGCCCAGCTGGACAGATAACCTTATGTACAAGGAAAATAAACGCGAGTCAAGAGGCCACTGGGAAGAGGTTTGCTGAACATCCTTTTGTTTAGAAGTCCTCTGGTTACCAACTACCATCGGGGAGACAAAGAACTCTGGGTCTCCCTGGCTGGAGAGCAGCCTTTGACCCTGAAAGGCCCTGCACTGACTGACTTGGCAGCTCTCGGCTCTCTCTAGGGAGCAGACAGTCAACCCACCCCTACCGCCATCAGACCACTCAAAGCTTTTCTCTTTGGTGCTGCTGGAGAACTTGCTGGAAACTGTGCACACGCTAGGCAAGCGCTCTACCCCCACCCCGCATCCTAGCCCTACTAATGTCGCCTTTTCAGTTTCTCCACTGTCCAAACCCACATCGAGGCCTGCCTCTGACCTTAGATGAGTTAAAGACATGCTTGAAAAGCCTGGACCATAGCAGGGTCTGAAGGCTTCAGTTATATCCTCTATGCACGTCACATGGGGCCAAAGTGCCCCCTCTCCTCTCTCTTCAGACAGAGTCATGTAACTTGGGGGAGATCTCAGAAGAACATTAGGCCTGCACTGCCCACACTGCACTCCATGGGAGTCATTCTAGGTCATCAAACAGATGCTGTACCAAATACTAGCCCATGCTGACACATTCACACAGACTCCAAGGCCTTGGCAGCTTCAGTGCCGGACAGGGCCTAGCGGTCATTGTGTGTGTTTACAAGAAGAAGCATTTACCTGGGGCTGGAGGTGATGATGCTGTTGGTGACTCTGGAGTGCTCTGAGCAGTGAGGGTGGTATATTTGGACGTCAACATTTCAGCCGTAGAAACACTTGTAGTTTGAGGGGAAGATGGTCTGAGAGAAGGTGAAACCGGGCTGGCCTCCTCTTCCTGGTCAAGCTTTGTGGTAGCGTCTGCTGATGTGGGTGTAGTGGTCAGAGGGACAGGATAGGTGGTAGGACCCATTTGCACCCGGTTCCCTTCTGTGGTGAGGGCCCCTTCCGTGGAGGTCTGCGGCACTGGACTTTCAGGATTGGTCGGCAGCTGCTGTTCCTCCGGGGTAGTGTGCACAACTATGGCACCTGGAGTCAAAGCTTCTGTGCTTGGCAGGGTGCTGGGACTGGTGGCAGGAGAGTGGGTAGTCTGGGAAGTGGAAGACATCAAAGCTGGAGACATCGGGGCTAAGCTGGTGCTTGTGGCTGGAAGGGCTGGCTCTGTGGAGGACCCCATTAAGGCTGGGGACCAAGGGGTCCCTGGAGGAAGACTCATCGTTACTGCTTTGGTAGGATCTGTGGGCAGAGACACCAGGCGTGGTGACTTTTCTTCTGTGATGGCTTTCTCTGGCTGCAGGGCGCTCTGGTTTTGGGGGTCTGCTGTCTGGTTACCGGGGAACACGGCTATGGCTGATTCCACTGTCGACATTTGGACCGACGTTACACGTGGCTCCCTCACCCTGTGGGGGACTAGGGTCGAAGATGAGCGTGGGAAGGTTGCTTGTGAGACAGAGTGCGGGGCGAGGGTTGACACCGTGAAGGAGACAGGCAAGGGTGATGGTGAGGATGGCGAGGACGTGGCTGTGTAGGAGGTAGACTTTAGCTGCTGTGTGGGAGACCCCGTTGATGGCACGGTGGCTGAAAACCGGTGGGGTGGCGACACCGAGGGAAGGGGCCAAGGGGCCTCTGACTCGGATGGGTCCTCAGCAGATTTAGTGCTGGCATCAAGAACCTGGGTGTTTGGCATATTCACGGTGGATGCGGAGGGCGGAAGGTTGGATGAATGCAGAAGCAGCGACTCGGTGGAAGACTGAGCGGGTTCACCATCGTTGGAGGACGCATTACTTCTTTTAGTCTGCCCCTGAGAAGAAGAAAAGTCCACGTCTGGAGAGTCTGCGATCTTAGCAGAAGAGGTTGCGCTCTCGCTGGTGTCTGAGGAGGAAGAGTTCTCTGTAATGGACAGTAACGACCGCTCTCCTTTGGTGAAAGCAGACGACGCATAGGCGTGGTCTGTGTGGTCACTGGAAGGCCGCTGTTCAGCGTCTGAGCCACGCTCTGGACCGTAGTTCAGCACCGTGACTACAAAGAGAAAAGAGAATGTTGGTACAAGCAAGCAAGAACTCTTTGAGACAGGCGCTGGAAAATATTCTTTGTGTCTCATCCATGAACTTAAGTAAGTATTAAGACTTAATACTGTCTCTGTTAGGTGACTTCTCATGGGAAGCACTCTCGGTCATGACGATACTGGAAGGCTAACAGTCAGGAGTAGATTCCACCCAAGAGGCTCAGCCTGCAGTGACTACGTGGGAATAATGGAGAAGCGGGGAGCCTAAAAACAGGCAGTGTTTCCAAAGCCCTTCCTTGTGCTCTTTTTTAATAAAGCAAATTGCCGTGGAAAAGCTCCCAAGATCCCAAGCAGTAATTACCATTATCAAATGGAAAAAGGAAACCGCTCCCAACTTTCCACTCTGTGTAATGAGGTATTTCTTCCTGGGAGAAGGCCTTCGCCACAGTTAACCTCTCAGGCGAATGTCATCCCAAATACCTCAAGCAAGACCGGGGCAATGGGGGTGGGAGTGCTTCCGGCGGTGGGGGAACCCAGAAGGTTCTTTTCCTAATGAGCAGTAAGCTACCTTTTGGGTTGCCAGCCAACGTAACCATCCCAGGACTGTGAGTCAATCTACAGTCAAGCAATGCGGCTGTGGGAAACCACACCTACCTCCAAGGGTAGGTGCCCGGGACAGCAGGCCCGCGTGCTCCGTCACGTTCCCACGCAGAGTGGGGTGCACGGGGTGCGTAGAGGCGCGAGAGAGTCCAAGGGATCGCAGCGTGCGCTCCCCGCTCCGGGTGAGCATCGTAGACGTGTGAGTGTGTGGGGACCGCACCCCTGAAGTGCTCCCTGCCGGGTCCGAGCTGTCGCTCAGCAGCACATTGTCTTCCAGAACTGCAGGAGAAAGAGGGCAGGTAAGTGCGGGGTAGGACTTTCAGCCTCACATTCTGGGTCACTGGAACCCAGAGGCTTCCATGAGATTCTTTACCTGCGACCAGAGAGAGGGCTGACATCTCTCTTACTGAATTCACCATAAGGACTGTTCCTTCAGCCAAAGGATCCAGAATACTAGATTTGGCAATACTAATACTAATACTAATACAGTAATAAGAATACTGCTTGGCAATACATGATAACAATCATAGAGTTCTACCAGTGAAAGTTGGTGGCAACTTCAGGGCCCGGCCTGTGGCATGTCAGTCACCATGGGTCAAAAATTAGCATGGATACTGGGCAGTGGTGGCACCTCTTGCACTCAGGGTGCAGAGGCAGGCAGATCTCTGAGTTTGAGGCCAGCCTGGTCAACAGAATGAGTTCTAGAACAGCCAAAGCTACACAGAGAAACCCTATCTTGAAAAAACGAACAAACAAACAACACCCCCTCAAATAGCATGGAGGTTAAGGGTGGACTTAGTTGGTGCTCTTTATTTTATATTATTATATTTTATATGTTTATGTGGGAGTGCACATACCACAGCAGAACTGGCTTATATGATTAGATTATCAAGTAAATCCTTTTCAGAAATGATGAACATAAAGTCCAAACTCATGTACCTATGCACACATACACATAAAATAAATCTTTAAAAAGCCGTATTTATCTACATTTTAATTTTAATAGTTAATTTTTTGGTGTGTATAAGTGTTTTGCCTACACGTATAAATGTGTGCCTTGTGTGTCTGCTGCCCGCAGAGGCTAGAAGAGCACACTGGAATCCCTGGAACTGGAGTTACAGACAGCTGTGAACCGCCGCATGGGTTCTGGAAAGGAACCCAGACCCTCTGGAAGTATAGCAAATACTCTTAGCCATTGAGTCATCTCTCCAGATCCTTTTTTATTTTTTAAATTATGCAAACCTGAGTGTGGGGTTTGTAAACATGAGTGCAGTACCCAAAGGGGTCAGAAGAGGGCGGCAGATCCCATGGAACCAGACTTACAGGTGGTTGTGAGCCATTTGGGGTGATACGGGTAGAACTCAGGTCCTCGGCAAGAGTGGCTATGCACTCAACTGCTGAGTGCCATCTCCGCAGCCCCATTAACAATTCTTAAAACCACCGTAAGGGTTAAAGATAAGTTTGGGTTATAGTGTAAGTACTCCTTTGTTTTTCTGTAAATCAGCAAAAACGCTGGGGATCAGGGAAGCTGACACATTAGAGTCAATTCCTGAATTCTTGATGCCCAAGGACTCTCTGCCCCAAACTCTCTCTTGCCTTGAGCAAAAGAACTATAATGCTAACAGCCAGACAAACTACTCTGTGACAGCGTCAATCACACGACAACGATACAAAGATCACAGCTGACTGCACTGGCTCCCGGGGCCACGATCCCAGGCAGGGCTGTTTGAGACAGTCTGAGTCTGACTTTCTGTAATCCCAAACCTGTACAGACCATTTCTATCTCGGCTAAAAGGGGAGTACTTCCTAGGGGGAGTGCCCGGTCTGGCGCTGAGGGGAAAGGCTGCGATTGTTCCAGAACACCAGTCAGCGATTGGTGCCGAGAGCGAGGCTGTGAGGGCTTCACATGTCTCTTCTCAGGCCTCATAAGCAGAATGCTTAGACTTTCTCAGTGACCTCTGAAAGGCTTCTCTGGAGTGGTCTTTTCTCTCTACTTTCAGAAGTAAGAAAGAAATAACAAAGGCCACAGAGAACGGAGTGTAGCCGGGGTGAAGACAGTGCCGGTGGTCAGGCTGTGTCTGAACAGTTGAAGACCTCAGAGAGGCGTCGTATGTTAGCCACACACCACCCGGCATTGACAGTGGGCACTTCTCTGCGTACACTCACTACTGCTGGACAACCACTGCAGAGGCCCCATTGGCCTTGGAAAGGATTTGTACAGCTTGTGGCTCCATTCAGATTCTCAAGTCCCAGACCAGGCTTCCTGGTGCACAAACTCAGCGCCCCTTTGCAACTGCTGTCATAGTTTGGAAAAGTGGGAAGCCTTGGGGCTCCTGGTGAGAGCCATGCACAGCAGCAGACGGCCTGCTGATCCCACCTGTCTGCCGGGATCCTCTGCCAGTCAGTGGGTACAGATTCCTGTGCCCGAGTAATGCTGGCAGCACCTGGCATCCTGCTCCTACGAGGTGCCCCTGAGTGAACCCAGGCTCTCCAGATATGATCTAGGCAGGCACCTGGAGTACAGTGGTCAGAGCAAGAAGAAGAAACAGAGACCACAGAAGAGAACGAGGAACCAATAAAAAGGTTGGAAGGAGCCAATGGAGAGGCCCCGAAGGCCCTGGACACCAGATTTCCAGAAAAAGAGTAAAGCCTTCAAGGCCAAGAGTCTCAGAGCTGTTACACTGGCCATCACTGATGCCTGGGGCCTGCACCAGAACTGCCGCATTACAGGGTCTTAGCTGTCTCTGCTTGATGCTGTCAAACACTGAGGGAAACAAAAGCTGCTGGAGACCGGATGTGAAGAGCTCTTGCTTCCCCGTTCTTCCTATCCTGGCTCAGGGAAGAACCTTTAACTGGGAATGAGCATGTGGATAGGACATCAGTGACCCGGAGCAAGGGTAACTCAGGAACCACAAGGGTGACTTAGGCTCTCCTAAGGGTGCTGGAGTCATCAGGCACAGATGCAAGAGCAAGTTCTGGAACAATTTTGTGGGCAAAGAGAAGAATATATTGGCGGGGAGGTCGTATTTACTCCACAAGTGAAACTGAGGCAAGCAAACAATCACATCAGGGTTACAGGCTCAACAGAGTGACCGATCACAGCCCAAAACAGCTGCATCTGAATTCAGAAAGGGGTGAACGGAGAATTAGCCAAGGCAGCTTTGGGCTGATTCAGAGGCAAAGGGAGAAAGAATTACACTAGTCCATACTGAGGTCATTTCAGGAATGAGGCTACTCCTTATCTAGCTTTAATATTTTTTTAAATTTTAAAGTATGTGTATGCATATGCATCTGTGTGTATGTGCCTATGGGTGCAGATACCCATGGGGGCCAGAAGAGGGCATCAGATAGACATTCTGGAGTTAGGATTAGATGAGGTTGGGAGCCTCCTAATGTGGGTGCTAGGAACCAAATTGAGGTCCTCTGCAAAAGCAGCAAGTGCTCTTAATGGCTAAGCCACCCTCCCCCCGGCAGCCCCATGTAGATTTTTATCACCCAAAAGTCTGATCAAATGAAATCATATTTTCCATATGAACCAACACAGCATCACCCACAGAGGGAAGTGTCCTGAGAGATGTAAAAGAGAAAAGCTCCAGAAGGAACCAAAGACCATGCTAGGGTACAGCACGCGGTCAGCATGTGTGTTGCCTACTGCGCACAAGACTCAGAATTCAAGTCTCACAACTCAGGGTTCCATGGTCTTGCTTTGAGAAGGTAAAAGTCCTGGGCCCTGTAGTGGTGAGAGTGGAAAATGATATTTCCCAGGCAAGAGAGAGAAGGGCTTAAACATCTTCTCCCTACGTTTGAAGACAGGGTCTCACCCATGTAGTCCTGGCTGTCCTATGGCTATGTAAGCTAGGCTGACCGTGAACTCTGAGATTCACTACCTGCCTCTGCCTCCTGAGTGCTGGATTTAAAAGGTATGCGCTACCACACCAGGCTCATACATGTGTTGATTCTTTCATGGTCAGACACTTTTGCATGTTACAGGCATAGCAATAAGCTGTGACTTCCTTCATCAGTGAGGAGTCTCATATGGAGGAAATGGGGAGTTATTAGCAGTGTGGGGAGGAAAGAATTTAAATCTGTGAGAAATGTAATGATAACCTTGTTTGCTTTCACGAACACCTACTTTATAACAACAAAACCACTGGGGAATCATTTTCAAAAATTACTCAAAAACATTATTTAAAAGGAATAAAACAACAAAAATAAATACATAAAATAGAAATATTAAGAGATTTAGTATTTATATTAAATTTAAATTTTAAATATTTAAATTTAAATAAATGTTCATATTAGACTTCACCAAAATTAAAAACTTTCATACTCCAATTATATCATTAAAAAAGTAAAAATAATGGGCTGGAGAGATAGCTCAGTGGTTAAGAACACCGGCTGCTCTTCTAGAGGACCTCGGTTCAATCCCAATCACCCACATGGCAGTTCACAACTGTCTAGTTTCAGAGAATATGACACCTTAACATAGACATATACTCAGGTGATACATTTATGCACATTAAATAAAAGCAAATAAATTTTTTTAAAAAGTAAAAATGGCTGGGCAGTGATGGTGCATGCCTCTAATTCCAGGGAGGCAGAGGCAGGTGGATCTCTGTGAGTTCAAGGCCAGCCTGGCTGGCCCACAGAGCTAGTTACAGGACAGACTCCAAAGCTACAGAGAAACCTTGTCTCGAAAAACAAAAACAAAACAAAGCAACAACAACAAAAAGTAAAAATGACAATCACAGAATGGGAGAAAGTACCCATGAATTATACAAATCAAAAGGGACTACAGTCCAGGATATGCAAAATGCCTTTATATTCAATGAGAAAAATGATAGCTTAATTTTAAAATAGTCAAAACATTCAAATAGACATCTTCAAAGAAGATACATGTGGGCAATGACTATATGTATACATGTTCATTATCATTAGGATAGTGAACTGGGAAATATAAATTTATACCACTCTTTCCATATGTGTACACACACACACACACACACACACACACACACACTCTTTGGAAAATCGTTTGGCAGTGTCTCAAAAGCTTTAAAAGGATACTTCTAGCCAGGCAGTGATAGTGGCACAAGCCTTTCATCCCAGCACTCAGGAAGCAGAGACAGGTGGATCTCTGTGAGTTCGATTGCAGCCTGCTCTACAGAATGAGTTCCAGGACAGCCAGAGCTGCTATACAGAGAACACTGTCTCGAAAAGTAACAAATATATAGCTTGGTCATTCTAAGACAGCATGTCTCTGCATAAAATGTGTCTCCGAACAATCATAGGGGCACTAGTAATAACAGTGCATCCCTGATGAAATATTAGTTGGAAGGACAGATACATGCTTGCTGAATCTTGAGGCCATGTAAAATTAAAAACACAAAAGGCCATATATGAGATGATTGCTTTCACAGGAAATGTTCATACGTTCTGTGATTAGGAGGTACTGGGGTTTGGGGCAGGCTATATACCATGGGAGGGCGTGGACACAGAAGCCCCAAGTTCTGTATGAGAAGAAGAGGCATCAAAAGCTCCTTAGATGTGGGGCTGGAGAGACGGCACAGTCAGGAAAGCGTTTGCTGTGTAAGCATGAGGACCTGAACTCAAATCCTTAGCACCTTCAAAAGCTGAGCATAGCAGCCTTATTTAATCAGTGAGCCCGTAGCCCAAGTGAGAGACTCGCTAGCTTTTGAGGTACACACCGGAGGTTGACCGCTGGCCTCCATTTGCACATGTGTACCTGAACACATATATATGCATACATATACACGCTAGAAAAAGGGTTAATATGTATAAAAACGATGTGACATGTATATTTGTGTTAACCAGCTAAGAGAATGGCCTGAGATCAGTAAAATTACTTTCCTAGCGCAGGCTTTAGAAGATCAAAGGACCAGACATATCCTAAGTCCCTGCGGCATACTTCCACGCAACAAGAACTCACTTGAATGTCCTCCATGTGTGGCTGAGGAATCCAGACTTTCCGAGGAAGCTGAAGATGAAGAATCTGAGAAAGTCTTCCCACCCAGCCTCGAGCCACCACCTCGGGGTTGCTGTGCAGTGTGTGAGAACGGAGTCCAAACCCAAGGGCTCCTCGTGTCTGGCTGCGAAGCAGGGCTCCCTGCTGTGTGTGTAGCTGTTTTGTCCTTGGCGGGGAACCACTGTCCTGTGCTCGCTCCGCCACCCATGGAGGGGACTGGCCTAAAAGCTACCTCAGTCAGAGGCGTGGCACTGCCATTTCCTGCTGCGGGGCCGCTGGCGAGCTGATGTCCTCCAAAGGCTGTAAGACATTGGGGTAGAGGGAGGCCATTAGTGGACCCGGAAAAGATGCTTAACAACTAAGATGGCATCCCCGCTAAGGCAAGCTTCTCTCTGCCAAAGAATCTTGGAAGGTGTTTATATGGGTCACCCTACAAGTATCACCATGTTCTAAACCTTCCTAAAATCATCGGATGGCAGCAATATAGTAATATTAAAAATAAAAGTTCTGGACAGGAGACTTGAGAGTAGCGTGTACAAACTAATCTACAGGCTTGAATGTTTATCTCTGTCCCTTGAAAAGTAGCCCAGTGAAGGAGTTGTTACATACAACAAGTTCAGTGTGCACACATATTATACATAGAGTGTTTTTCTAAAAAAAAAAAAACCCAGCTGGAATACTGATAAACATTCTTCTACTTCTGATGTACAGTAAAATAAACTATAAGGAGTAAGCCAAACTATGAATTTGGGAAGTATATTTACGCCTGACAACTTATTTATAGAGATGATCTATACACAAAATCACTGACGCCAGCTGTAAAGGGCAGGCCCAGGATCTGAAGATGGCGCTACAGTATGAAGAGGGACCGAACCATGACAGCCCCAAGGCTGAGGTCTCCACTCTGCTGAGTAAGCTGTGTTTACTTTATTTAAGCCTTCCAGGTCTTAGTGGTCTCATCTTAGGGACGGCATTGTCTACACCCAAAAGTAAAAATGCAATCCTGTGATCTAGCAGGAAAGGATCTGACGTCATCAAGGACACACGGTTGTTCAGAGACTGCACAATGGTTTTGAAGAGACACCCCCCCCCCACCCGAAGAGCACCCAAATATAGAAAATGTCCACAGGCCAAATAAAGGTGAGCTACTTACTGGGGGAATCACTTTGCCAGTGTATGGATGGAATTCCACCTCCGTTTTCTGTAGATGGCTCAATGCCTTCTCTGTCTCCCGCATTCTCAGGGAGTCTGCTGTATGTCCTGGAGTCAACCACAGAGGGCGGAGAAGGGACTGAGGCTGACGTTACAACAATTCTGGAGTGCGCAGGCAAGCTCTCTGTCTCATTTACGGGTTCCACGCTGACAGTCAAAGACCGGAGCATTCTGGTGACACCATCAGTGAATGTGTTGGTGGCATGTGTACTCTTTGTCTGAGTGACTGACAGGCTTTGGAGATTAGCGGAGTCATTAAAATTCTTTATACTTCCAGAAGCTAAAACAGGAGAAGACATGCTTCAAAACTACTTGAATGACTAAAAAAAAAAATTGGGATTCTGTCTAGGTACAAATAATGCTTATTGTATTTGATGCGTGAATCTGTACACCGTGGATGTACTAGAGAGCATACACCTGCATCATGTTGATCGACACAAGTGCAAGTAGAGACCCTCCCTCTTTTTCACCTCACCAGTTCTAAATCCCACTGAGCTGGCGAGAGATGGAGTCAGATCACCCACACAGAGAAATTAAGTTTTCTAGGCAAGTGAAAAGGAAGACAGGAGAAACCCAGACGAAGCAATAATTTTATTTTCTATAGAGGGGCTGCATTCCACAGCGTAAGAATTCCACACCATGGGCCACTGATAAAGCTGTTGCTGCTGGTTTGTTTGTTTGTTTGTTTAAGCACTGTAACCCTTTTGTTCAAATGTATTCAGAGATTAAAATCCCATCCATACCATGAACCAAGTTTGAGCCAATACAGGGTGTGCAGCTGCTCGGTCAGCACCGGGGCTCTGGAGAACACAGTCAAGAGATTGCTGGCCTGCGACAGTAATTCCCAACATGGTCACCTAAGGCTCTTTATTATTCCCCAAATCGTGGCCACCATAAAGCTTTGGCTTTGAAACACCCTTCAAACTACATTCATTAACAGAACTACCAACCAGCAGGAGAATGTATTATTTCCCCAGGGATTTGATGTAATTTCACCTAGAAGCAGACTTCATTATTGTAGTTAGTTCATCTCACTAAGCTTTGGAGATGTCTCCAAACCATAGGGCACTTTAGGAGACCAAAGACGCTAGGCTGGGAACAGCTTTTTCTGATCAGTGAAACAGATGGCTGTCCTCGGAGAGCTGTCAAGAGCCTCAAGAATTCATTGGTCAGAATGCATGGTCTGCTCCTCGTAGATGTCTGGCTGAGAGCTTCCTGCCACTGGGAAACTTGCCAGAGGAACTAAAGAACTCACCTCTGAAGAGGTACCTTAAAGCCCCAACACCAAGGCTGAGCATGCGACTCAGTGGCAGAGAGCTCACTTAGCACGTGTGAGGCCCCGAGTTCAAACCCCGGCACCACAGCTATCCTTATTAAACAGGGCAAGAATAAGGAGCAGGAAAGTTTGGGGAGCAAAGCAATGGAGGCAAGGGAAGCAAGGGAAGCAGGCTCCTTGCTCTCTTCTCCACCTGAAGTCAACAGCAATAGAGAGCTGTCTAGACCTATACGGTGAAAGGCTTCCAGCTGTCAGTCACAGCTCCGAAAAGGGAAAAGAGGAAGCTGCCATTATAAATCGTCCTTTGAAGACCATTCTTATGCACAGTTGTGACCAAAGCCCAAACAGATTTTAGACCTAGAGAGAAAGTATAGGAAAGAAAGCGTTCCTTTCATTCTCGTGCAAAGCCATAGACACCGGGAGTACAGCCTGCTGCTCTGCTTACTGGATCTCCATGAAAACAGATGCGGGCGCAGGCTCCACGAGACAAGGGACTAGAAAGATGTGCGTGCAAAGGCTTCTAGCCCTGCTGGGTCACAAACAAAAGCCACTTTTATATAAGAAAGGAGTGATCTCGATAAGGATATGTCCCATAAACGGTCTCCAAATTGCTTTCAAAGCATTTTTATTTCTAATCAACTAGACCATGTCATTTGTTCACTATTCCCATCAAAACACCGTGCTGGGAGCCGGGCGGTGGTGGTGCATGCCTTTAATCCCAGCACTCGGGAGGCAGAGGCAGGCGGATCTCTGTGAGTTCGAGGCCAGCCTGGTCTACAAGAGCTAGTTCCAGGACAGGCACCAAAAAACTACAGAGAAACCCTGTCTCAAAAAAAAATCAAAAAAAACCCCACCGTGCTGGGGACAGCGATGACTTGGTATTAAGAGTGTGTACTGCTCCTTCAGAGGACCCCAGTTAGGTTTGCAGCCCTCACACTGGGTGGCTCACACTGCCAATGACTCTGACAGCAGAGGGTCCAACGCCCTCTTCTGGCCTCTGAGGGCACCTTCACTCATGCGCATCCATACACCACCACGCTTGCAATTACAAATAAAACCTTAAAAGCAACCCCCTGTGATGATTACCCTGGATTCAGCCTGAAAAGCCTAGGGCTGCCCATGTCGGGAGTCTGAACAAATAAATGGCCACAGAAATACGATCACAATTGCTGAGTCACTAAGGAAAACAGCTCCGTTTCCCACGACCCCGCAGGGCTGTGCAGCACACTGTCCTCCCATCTCAGCACTGTGACGAGCTTCTGTGGTTGCGCATGACAGCACCTGCTGTGCTCTTGGGAGGCCGAGGCAGGAAGACCATGCGCTGGACGCCTGTGTGGTCCACAGAGCAAGTTCCAGGCCCATCTCAAATACAGAGCGAGACCCAGTCTCAAAACTCAACCCAGCAGTGCCTGGGGAGATGGCTCAGTGGTTGAGAGCACTGCCTGCTCTTCCAGGGGACCCAGGTTCAATTCTCAGTATCCACATGGCAGCTCACATCTGTCTGTAACTCCCGTTCCAGGCCTCTGACACCCTCCCATAGACATGCAGGCAAAACCACCAATGAACATAAAAAATAAATAAGTAATTAAAAAAAAAAAACCAACTAAACCAAACAAGACAGCTACCCTGAAGTGAGCAATCGCGTCCTGAGGCATGGCGCTAAGATATGCACATCGAACACTTGTCTGAGCGGCTCATACACATTGCTCACGCTCCTATGTAGACACCGGCTCCAGAAGCTATGAGGAAACGCATTACGCTTCTTATCAGCAAGCTGGCATGACTGGTCACTCTCGGATGGCCACCCTGAAGCAGCCATTCAAAAAGGGAAAACCTGAGTTTGAACCAGGAAAGGCAAAAGGAGAAAAGGAAGAGGAGCAGGAAAAGCCAGCTGGTGTGATGGCTCAGCAAGTAAAGGCCATGGATCCTGACAAGAGCTCAACCCCTGTGTCCTATGTGGCAGAGAGAGAAGAACTGACTCCTCCAGGTGGTCCTCTCACCCCAGCACTCCCCTGTACATCAAACAAACAAACAAATCTCATGAAAATTTTAAATTAAAATGTAAAAGCTGGAATACTACCAACTGGAACAAGGCCTGAGCTAAGTTCTTAGTTTTGTAACCAGCCGTGGAGAGAATGCCTGTTCACCTGGTGTGAGCGTGTCCCTCTCCACTCACGGGACAAAACCCCAGAGCCTCTGGCAACCATCACGTTGCTCAACCTTGACTGCTGTCCAGAACTTCCCACAAGTGCAGCCGAGGCAGCTGATGGTAGAACCAGACAGAACTGAATCCAAAATCTTCCAAGTTCTTAATATTTTCTTCCTTCACAAAGTGAAACCACCACAAAGCAATTTACCTGGACCACATCAGCTTGACTGCCCACAGGAAAGACTTCCGGAAGTCAAGCCCCATTATTACACCCCAGTTTTTACTGAAGTCTCTACAAAATGTCACCTTCAAAAAGTATGGGCATGGTTCTCACAAACCAGCAATGGAAAGCATTTCTTACGTAAATATTCCTGTTGGAATTACTGCCCCCGAAACATTCATGCCTATGGATTAAACTGTATGCTCACTTTGTCTGACAACAATTGCATGCTCCACCCAGCTTCCCCTAGTGCCCCCATTTCCAGGAAGCTCACACTAAATTTAGCACTCAATTGTGATCGCGCTCACACAATTCAACATACACATTTCTGCCTTCCGAAGAGCTTCCTCCCCTCCTCACCCCTGCCATGTGTTGCTTTGTTGACAGCCCCACCCCTAGGCCATGATCAAACAGCAGTGGGCGATCATCAAAGAGACCATGGAAAGTCTAGAGAGACAGAAGCAGGAGAGGGTGGAGAGCAACGCCTTTGGGTTTTCTTGTAATCCCTGGCTCATCTTCCAGGGTCGGCTTTGTTGCTGTAAGATATAGTTTCTATTCAGAAACACAGTAACTCTTGGCTGTGCAGGGTACAGGAGAGGCTGTATTGAACAGTGTGCTCTAGTTTGCACTCTGTTGCTATAATAAAACACTGACCAAAAGTAACTTGGGAAAGAAACAGTTTATTTTATTTTAAAGTTCTAGGTGAAAGTCACTGAGCCTGGAACTGAAATAGAGCCATGGAGGAGTGCTGCTTCCTGGCTTGCTCCCATGGCTACCTCAGCCTGCTTTCTTACAGAACCCAGGAGGAGGCACCACCCACAGTGGGCTGGTCCCATCTACACCAATCATTAGGAAAAAAAGCCCAACAGATTTGTCTACAGGCCAATCTGATGGAAGCTTTTTCTCAATTGCCTCTTCCCAGATAACCCTAGTTTGTGTCAAGTTGACCAAAACCCAACCAGCACCACATGTTTGTGAAGTTAGGTGGCAGTAAAGGAGGCCCAGCTGACAGCCTATGAATGGACCACCCAATGCTGCCACCTTTCAGATCATCCAATCCTTTGCCACACCCTTAGTTTGTCACCTGTGTGCACACCCTGTGAGGAGCATCACTAACCTGACTGGTCTGAGCATAGGACTTTTCCCTAGGTCACATGGCCAGAGCCCCCCACCACACACACACACCCATCCCCAGTACTCCATTGCTTGTCTTCGTTCATTGAGCTGGCCAGGCAGGTTGACTCCAAGTCTGCCGTGGCAGGTCCTGCTGGCTCCCCCGTGACCTTCTTGCCTGTATGCCTGTAGCTCCTGTATCATGGACTCAGAAACGGACAGTAGAACCTCAAGATTTCCATTCAGTAGAAGGAGAGGTATACAGAGCTTGCTCGGCAAGCCCGGAGGTGCCAGGCTAACTTTACAGAGAGAGAGAGAGAGACAGAGACAGAGACAGAGACAGAGAGACAGAGAGAGAACCAAATAGAGAAGGAGTTTATTTCCTCTTTGGCCTCAGGCAGCAGGGTATGTCCTCTGTGCCAAGTCCTCTCTAGTGGCCACTTTAGAGGGTGGCCAGATACCCAGGTCACCAAGGAAGAGAAAGACTTCAGTAAGACTCAAGGACGATGAAAGACAGTGAGACTCCAAAAAATCAGAAATGGAAGGTTCTAGAACAATAATTCTCAACATGTGGGTTGTGACCCCTTTGGGAGGTTGAACAACCCTTTCACAGGGGCCACCTAAGACCATCAGAAAATGCAGCTCTTTATGTGATAATTTATAATGGCAGAAAATTTTTCGGTTGGGGACCACCACAATATGAGAAACTCAATGAAAGGGCTTCAGCATTTGGAAGGTTGAGAACCACTGTCCTAGAAGGACAGCTACTCAAAGAATGAGGGTCAGAAGTAGGCACACATGGTGGCGCAGGCCTTTAACCCAGCACTTGGGAGGCAGAGGGAGGCGGGTCTCTGTGAGTTTGAGGCCAGCCTGGTCTACATACTTCTAGGTCCTGGTCCATACTTCTAGGACAGTTGGGAGTACAGAGTAAGATCATATATATGTATATGAGGATCATATATACATATGAGGATCAGTTGCCTTTTGGCATTAAACATACGGATGAAGAGATAGTCAAATCCAGTAAAGTTAAAAAGGTGGACTCATTTCAAATATACCACAAACCTAGGTTTAAGGTATATTGTTAATGTTAAATGACCCTGACCAGACTCACAGAGGAGACTCTCAGAAGTGCTTCTTTTCCTTTTAGCAAAGCTGATTGTGAATCCCAAGCCACAGAACTCGGGCTTCACAGCTTCTGTCTAATGCAGCTTATGGATAATCTTTTTTTTAAAAAAAGATTTATTTATTTATTTGTTTGTTTGTTTGTTTGTTTGTTTATTATGAATACAGTGTTCTGACTGCAGGCCTTCGGGCCACAAGAGGGCACCAGATTGCATTATGGATGGTTGTGAGCCACCATATGGTTGCTAGGAATTGAACTCAGGACCTCTGGAAGAGCAGCCAGTGCTCTTAACTGCTGAGCCATCTCTCCAGCCCATGAATAATCTTTGTTGTTGTTGTTGTTCATGAAGATGCATACATTTGTGTGACTGTACCCGTGGATGCCCAGAAGAGGACATCTGAGCCCTGGGACCTCGAGTTACTGACAGTTGTTACTTCAGGGCCACCTGATGAGGGTGCTAGGAAGCAAACTTGAGTTCTCTGGAAGAGCGGGAAGGACTCTAAACCACTGAGCCCTGTCTCCAGACCACTTACGAATAATCTTAAAAAGAAATCTCCTGCAAACACAAACCATGAATTCTGTCCACACCGAAAAGCAGAGAACTGCACACCAAGCCTAGGCAAGAAGACTGCCCCTTTAAAAGGGTTGTCCAGAGAAAGCCTCTGGGCTCAGTTGTTGCTTTAATGACATAAACCCCAACTCCCAGTCTTGCAGAATATTTTTAAAAAATCTCTGCCTTCGTGGTTGGCAAAACGGCACATCAGTCTCCACCCCAAGCTGGGGCACTATTAATATGTGAAGGTTGCTTGCGGAGGAGAGTCAGTTTTCTTTAAGAGGTATGGTCCCTGGTAGGCTGACCATGCTCCAGTGAACGGCTGCACACCCACGCATTTATGGACAGCAAGGAGTGATCCATAGAGAGGGGACAGAGAACGGATGGACACGAAGGTATGAAATGGTGGTTATCTGAGAGGAGTCTGGAGGAATTGGACGGTGCTTATGGGAGGGGGCCAAACATGACTAAAACATACTGTGTGCATGCATGGAATTCTCAATAAATAAATAAAATGCTATATCTATTTAAAAAAAAAAACCCTCTGACTTAAGTGCAGATCCAGATCCTGCTACTCTGTCTTGCCCTGGGCTAAAAAACAACCTGAGCAGCTCGCGGATGGGCAGTTTACAGCATCTCTTTGGCTTCTGGCAGGATGTGCCTCCTGGGGGAACCTGGGCACATGCGAGGCCCCAGGTCTTAACTGAAGACTGAAGTGTCCTCAAGAGGGTTACGATACCTAGGCAGGCAGGCATCTGGTGAGCCACAATGACAAGTGTGTGGCACAGGGGCCTGGAAGAGTGAAGAAATGCTTGCGGAGCAGAACAGCCGAGCTGAGGCTAGTGCGCAGGACATGGCGTGGCAGAATGGGACAGGGCGGTTCTCCACAGCCACGGCGCCTGATTAAAGCCAGCAAACACCTGTACTGTGTAGGCTCTTTCTTTCGAAACAATGCCAGGAAAAATTACGAACCTATTTTCTCCGCCATCAAAGAAGCTGCGTTTGTGAAAATAAACAAACAAAACTCAAACTGCTAATTGAATGGTACAGCAGTGTCCGGCTCACATTTTATCCACCCCAGCGTGTGGCCTCCTCTGAAGGTGCACGCAACAGTCACGCTTAATCTTTGTCGTATGTGTGTACAGAGGAGGGGAGGAAAAGAAAAGGGGGAGACGGGAGGTGGGGAACCCAGCAGCCACCAGACGGGCTGATATTTTCCTCCATACACAGTTAAAACATACTTTGAGCATGAGCCTCAATATCGAGAGAAATGACATAGACTGTACTTCCAACTAAAGCACTTGGCATTGAAGAAATGGCTCTTAAATCTCCCTTTGCTTCCCCTTAGCCGGACACTTAACACTTAGCCAGCTAGGTATACACATCGATTTGGGGTTCTTTTGAAATTGGAGGGGTGAACTGGGGCAGGAGTACTCACACAGAGGACGGCCTGAGGGAGGTGATTGACTCTGGGTCCGAGGGAAGCGCAGCTCCGAGTGCTCCTGGCCTGATGAATTTCTCTTCTGGGAGAGCATGGTTGGCTCCCTGAGTTCCAAAGCAGGAAGGGAGGCTTGGCTGGAAAACCAAATGCCAGCCACTTGTGTGTGCACAGTCCCTTCTTCTGGGAGTTCCCTTGCCGTCTCCAGGAAGCCTGGGGATATTCCACTCTCTGTCTGAGAAACAGTGATTCCTCCTTCCGACCTGGAACTGCTGGATGGCTGGGGAAGGCTCTCCAAGGCTGGAAGCCAGACAACAACAATTAAAACCCCACTAGTGGCTGTCAACTGTCTTATTATCGCTAGTGGGCTCAATTAGAAGGCGCGAGGAATTATTCATTCTAGGAGAAAGAAACTGCAAGAGAAACCACCAGGCTTTTGACCTCACCAATGGTCCTCACTGGAGGGAGGAATTACCAGTAATGGAGCACCCTGCTGCTAACTAAGCCTTAGACGGTCTAGCGTTAGAGATTGGTGTTAGATCAGGAAGACCTGTCCCTCACCTTTCACAAAGGACCCCAGAATGCCCCAGAATTCAATGTATGCAGAATTCCCAACACTTGACAGCCAGGCAAACCAGAGAGTATCACGTGCAGGACTTTTGAGCGCTGCAGCTTCCCTCCACGGAACACAGGATACCTTCCCACAATTCCCTTACAGAACTGAGTGCCCTCAAGGGTAGGAAACCGGGAAGTCACCTTGATGGCTTCAGCCTCTTCTTTGAGGTCCTCACCAACTCTCAACCTTCCTTCTGTCTGTATGAATCGTCTTTTGTTTGGTTTCGCTTTTGGAGACAGGGTCTCACTAGATTGCTTTGGCTGTCCTGGAACTCACTATTTAGAACAGGCAGGCTTTGAACTCACCAAGACCCACCTGAGGGCTGCCTCTGCCTCCTGAGTGCTGGGATCTTTTTTAATTTTAATTTTCAAGGTGGGGTCGTATGAAGCACAGACTGATCTCAAACTCAAGGATGACTTTTAACAACATTTTTAAAAATAAGATTTCTTCTTATCTTTAGGGGTGTGTGTGTGTGTGTGTGTGTGTGTGTGTGTGCGCGCGCGCGCCTATGGCTACCAGCAGAGCACTGAGTCCCCTGGAATCCGAGTACTGGTTGGGAGCCATCCAATGTGGGCACTGCACACCAAAGCTGGATCTCATAGAGAAGTGATTTTAGTGGATGAGCTGTCTCTCCAGCCCAAGCTTGAACTTCTGATCCCCCTGCCTCTACTTCCTGAATGCTGGGATTACACATGTTGTTTACACGGTTCTGGGGACTGAATCCAGGGCTTGGTGCCTGTTTGGCAAGGTCCCCAACCCCCCTTTATGAAGACTCTTTACTGAGCGATTCTTCAACACCTTCCCCAGGTGAGCACCTGCTACCTACACGTCTGCCTGGGTGGTCCAGCTCACTTCAGGTCCCCTTTCCTCCCATATTAGACATCTTACAGGCTTGCTGCCAGGTGGCTCCTCTCTCAAACTGTCCTAACCCTGTCTCTCGGTTGTGCAAAACCCTTCAGTGAGTCTTCCCACCACACCAAGTAGAAACTTCCTGTCTTGCAAAGTATTCCATCATTGTCCCTACCCTCCATAGCGCTAGCCATCCTGCCCACGGCTCTCTAACTCTCCCAGGGAGGACTCAGGCACTGGTGCCCCCTCTCCCTTCTATCATTACTCACACGGGGGCACCCCATTCCTGAGCTGTGGTGCCCACTCACTCAACACACAGACTTGGGCTCTCCTCACTTGGAAATCTGCCACCTGCTCTCCACCTACTGGGCTAATTAGTCTCTGAGCTTCAGTTTCCAAACCTTAAAGCGAGATTAGCGCGGCCTCACCGGGCTGCTGGAAGGATTGAGAGAGCCAGCTCGTTGCTATGTAGATGCGTACCTAATTAGCACTGCTTTTCTTTGTCTTCCTTCTTAGGTTGAGCTGTGCTCACAGAACCGCGGCCTCTTTTTGAAGCCCTTCGCTGGAAGTACTAAGCTGCCAACCGCGCAGACAGGAGCGGCAAGAAGCAGTCAAACTCTTATCAGCACAAACAAAACCTAGCCACCCTTCCCAACCCCTGAGATGTGTGATTGCGTGGCAGGATCCTGGGAGCAGGGAGGTGGTGTGGATTCAGACTGCTGGGGAGCATAGATGTTAAAGGACCCACCAGGGTGTTCAACAAATCTGCACCCCCCTCCCCTAGTCTGACTTTCCAAGCATGGCTCTTAGGAGGACTTGCCTGATCCATCCCAATGCAGAACCCCTAAATGGGCACAGTTGCTCTGGATGTGGGGGTGGGCTGGGAAGGGGGCAGAAAATTTGTTTTCTAGGACTGGACATAGAAAAATGAGCATCATGACACACACTCACACAAGGAGCTGCCGTGGGAGTCCAGGGCCGTGGTCATCCCAGGTGAGCGTCCAGCATGCGGAACGGTGGCGATTGCTCCGCTGGAAGGCTTGTTCCTCCCCTCGGCGTTCGTCTCAGGCAGGAAAGAGGGGTTTCCTGAGGCTTCTGAAGAACTGTGGCTCATTCTGGCAGTCTGAGCTGTCACTCCCTTTCTGGAACCTGAACGGTCCTCTTGACTCTGGTAGAAGGGGGTATTTCCTACGTGGGGTTCAGTGTTGTTACTTTCTGTCCAATGGCTCCTTGCAGTGGCTGCAATAACAAGCAAATGCACCAGTGAGAACTCAATGGCTTTTGAAAAGTAAACATGAAGAAACTTTCCCAAATGGACCCTTGCAGGTTATTGCCAACTTCATAACTTCTTAAAAACTCCATTTAGTGGGGCTGGAGTGATGGCTCTGCAGTTAAGAGCACTTGTTGCTCTTGGAGAGAGTACTGGAATACAGCCCAGCACCCACATCGAGGGGTTCACAACTCCTAGCTCTATAGCTTCAGGGACTCAGACGCCCTCTTCTAGCCTCTGAGGGTGCCTGCACACACATGCATTGCACATGTACACACACACATTGCATGTGCACACACATGCATGGCATGTGTACACACACATTTCACATGTACACAATGCATTGCACATGTACACACATTGCATGTGCACACACATGCATTGTACATGTACACACACATTGCATGCACACACACATGCATTACATATGTATACACACATTGCATTGCACACACATGCATTGCACATGCACACACACACATTGCACACATACTAATTGAAAAATTAAATTTTTATAACCCCCCATTTTTATTTTCCTGATTTGAGACTATTTCTCTTTGTGTTCAGGATTGGAGCCTGTGGAACCATGGAAAATTCTCAGTGGGGAGTGAATGAAGTCATTGCTATCTTTATAAGTCAAGGCAAAAATGTCAAACCATCTGATAAGCAGAGGCCGCAGGCAGGCAGAACTATCACTTATATCTAAATATAACAAACAAGCAAAAAGAAGAAGTTATCTTTTAGATTAGTATTGCCCACAGGATTAAGTGAGAGAAACCCACAATCCGTAAAATTAACTTGGTAGCCATTTTAAAATGTGTGTGTGTGAAGTACTTTATTTTATGCAACATATTCAAAATACCATTTCAACATGAATTTGATATAAGTTTCAACATAATGATTATATTTTTGTATTAAATCTTTAAGTTCGGTTAATATTTTACTGCCCCCTCTTTATGTGTGTGGGCGTTTTGCCTGCACATATGTCTGTGTATCACTTTCACATCTGGTGCCCGTGGAGGCTAGAAGAAGGCACTGGATCCCCTGGGACTGGAGTTACAGATGGTTGTGAACTGCCGTGTAGGTGCTGGGACTCAAACCCAGTCCCCTTGGAACAGTGGCCAATCCTAACAACACCGAGCCATCTCTCCAGTCCCTTACTGGCCATGTTCAATAGCGAGGGGTGTGGCTGCAGCTACACTGCAGTGACCAATGACTCATGTATTTGAGGCGGGTTGGGTGGTGAGCACAACCCAATCTCTGCCCTACCAGAGATTCCGAGAACTTTCTGAGGGAGTCATTTCCTCTTCCAGCTCCTTGAGAATTGCTGTGTCCATGCCCTGATTCTCCTTTCTGGAGGTGATAATTAACAGACGCTTCCTGGAGGGAAGGGAAGTCACTAGGGCCCTCCTCTGGGAGCCCAGCCTGAGAGGTGAGGCCCATAATAAGCTCCAAGTTGGCTGTGGGAGGGTGTTGCCAGAGGCAGCCACAAAGTCCCAAAGGTTATGAATGGCGGCGACCTACAGGGTATGCTTGCCTCATTCTTCTTGCTCTGCTTCAGAGGCAGTTGGCTTCCCCAGAAAAGCTGAAGAGGCCCAGGGGCATAAGGATGCTTTCTCTGCCCTCTTGATTAACTGGGCATAATAACAAAAGAAAATCAGGGGGAAAAAAAGATAACAAATTTAGCTCCATTAGGGCAGAGGGCCAGTGACTGCCCCTTCTTGAGATGAGTGGAACTCCCAGAGCCCACGCAGCTGCAGGAATTCCACTGTAGGGAAAGAGTGGCCACAGGCAGGCAGAGCACAGCTCACACTGAACCATGCTATCTCCCTGAGAGAGAGCAGACTAAAGAAAGATGTAAGGATGGAAAAATGCATGCTATAAATAAACCACCAGGCTGACAATAGTCCCCTACAGTGTCCTTGTCCCCTGCAGCGCCTGCAGTAACCCTGCCACGACCGACAGCTAAAAATGCTGACTAAAACAGCTGAAAAAGAAAACCATCCTAAATGCACTTCTGAGCTGGTGAGAAAGGAAAGAATCAGAGTAGGACCAGAGACAGGCGAGCAAAGGCGGAAGCTGACACTTCTTCAACATCTCTAACCTTACCCTTCGATGGCCACGGGGCTGCAGGAGGAAGATCATGTAAACTCTCCAGGCGGCTAAAGGGAGACCACCGTGCAACACTGGAATCAGAAGGAATAGACTCTGGACAAAAGACACAGAAACTAACCCAGAGAGGGACGAGGAGGAAACCTGGCCCTTGGATCTTGGTTGAAGAGGAAAGCTAAATGCAATCACAACCAAAGTCTATGAGCACAAAGCCAAGTCTTCTGAGGGTGTACAGCACAGATTTGCATTCCCTACATGAGCCGAACCTCAAGTTGAGGCTGTACCCAAGAGTGGCCTTAAGCCTTATGAGTACACTAAAAACGAACTGTGCTTTAAAAGGGTGGTTTAAAGAGGTCATCACCCCACCTCCACATAGCACTGGATAGCGGGAGCTGAGGAGCGACCCTGACCATGCCGCAAGGAACCTGGCAAGACCATGCAAACCCTCTCTATACGAACATACAATTTCTATCATTTGCTAATAAAGAAAAGAAACCCTCTAATAAGATGTTGCAGTAAAACAAACAGAAATCACAAATATACCAGAAAATAAGTCATTTGTGAACAAAAGTCAGCAAATCAGATAAGAGCTCAAATGCTAAAATCATCGAAGAAGATGTGTGTAGAAATGGACGCCTGAACTCACTCGTACAAACCCCTGTACAGGCGTGTAGGTAAGTAAAAGAAACAAAAAAAGGGTAAGAGAATGCTAAGAATCAGGTAAAAAGCAAAAATTATATACAAAAGTTTAGCAAATTAGAAAAAAGAAGCCAAAGTGATGCATGCCTTTAATCCCAGCACTAGGGAGGCAGAGGCAGGCAGATCTATGTGAGTTTCAGACCAGCCTGGTCCATGGAGCGAGTTCCAGGACAGTCGGGGCTACACAGAGAAACACTGTCTCAAAACCCCAAAAATTGATAGGGATAGATAGATAGATAGATAGATAGATAGATAGATAGATAGATAGACAGATAGAAGATAGATAGAAATAAAAAGAAGCCGAATGCATATCTAACTGGAGTTTCATTCTCACATTAATTTTTTATTTTTTGGGGGGTGGGTGGGTGTCTCTGGAAGTCAGAAGAATATGTAGGATTCCCTGGAGCTGGAGTTACAGGTAGCTGTAAGCTGCCTACCACAGGTGCTGAGGACCAAACTCAGGTCCTCTGAAGAGCATCAATCTCTTAACATATGAACCAGGTCTCCAGTCTCCAATTAGAGTTCTAGAAGAGAAGGGAACGCCAAAGGTCAATATTCAAAGAGGTAATGGCTGAGAATTTTCCAGAACCAGTGAAAAGCATAAATCTTTAAGCTAAGGAATTCTAACAAACTCCTAAAGGGTGTGTGTGTGTGTGTGTGTGTGTGTGTGTGTGTGTAAAGCTGATATATATTGATATCATAGTGAACCTGCAAAAACCTCAGAAGTTTTTAACTTAAACTCAACCAGGAAAAAACAAAAACAAAACAGCAAATTATCTATAAGAAGAAGTACACCAGCCATGGAAGCCATGGAAGCCAAAGAAAAGACAGATCAACTTTTGCAGTGTGCTGAGAGAAAACAGCAAAGTAATCTTTCAGAAGTATCCTGAGAGAACCATGTAAAATGATTGTCACTCAAAAGTGAGTTAAATGATGAAAAAAAAAAGAAATAAAAAGGAGGACATGACTTCTCCTAGGGGGTTGAGGTTTTTATTATGGCTGTGAGGAAGGATACAGGCAGAGACAGCTGGGAGATCTGGCATGAACACGGCCGGACTGAGCTGGGCCAAGGGAGGAGAGGAATTAGGAGGGCAAGAGAGGAGCTGCTCACCAAGAAGGGCATCCTGGGCCAAGAGGTAAAAGGACCAAAACCCAGGTAATCAAAAGGGCTGGATTATATGGGGAAGGGAAGCCCAGTCCCTGGGCTGCAGAGTTCAGGGTAGGGGGCAGGGCATGCCAGTCCTGGCCTGTAACAGATACAGACTGAGAGATGCTGGGAGAACCTGGTGGTCAACTTAAGCTTCAATCTGGTAATAGGCATCTCAGCTGTTTGTCCCAAGTTTGAGACCTAACACCTCCACTAAAACAAATTATAGGTGCCGATATCACACCCGCCAACATGGTGAACGTTCCTAAGACCTGCCGGACATTCTGCAAGAAATGTGGCAAGCATCAACCCCATAAAGTGACACAGTACAAGAAGGGCAAAGATTCTTTGTATATCCAGGGAAAGCGGCGTTATGACAGGAAACAGAGTGGCTATGGTGGGCAGACTAAGCCTATTTTCCGCAAAAAGGCAAAAACTACAAAGAAGATTGTGCTGAGACTGGAATGTGTGGAGCCCAACTGCAGATCTAAGAGAATGCTGGCTATTAAGAGATGCAAGCATTTTGAACTGGGAGGTGATAAGAAGAGAAAGGGCCAAGTGATCCAGTTCTAAGCTGATCTTGTTGTGAAGACAATAAAATCACGAGCTTTCACTCAAAAAAAAAAAAAAAGAAAAGAAAAGAAAAAAAGAAAGAAATTAAAGAGGTTTGATTTCAAACAAGAAAGCAGTCCTCAACACCAGACTCAAGGAAAGCCGAAGTGCAAGGTGAAGAGGGGTGTGCATCTTAAGAAACAGTGACTTTATTTTTCAAAAGAATGTCATTTTTTAAAATTAATGAGGTTATTAAAGTAGCCAGTCCTGGCTAACAAGCGCATGCAGGGCATGGTTAGCATCATTGGTGCAGAAGGGTAACTCCACTGACCGCACCTAAAGCTAACCCTGAGCAGAATTAGTCTGGGCCACATCCAGCCTGGTAGACTTAGAAGGACATAAAATTTCCACAGAGAGAAATTAGTGGGCATCACTCAAAACCAAAGTAAAATAGATAGA